GCAAAATAGAAACAAATCATGCAAGAAAGGCGCCGTAATTGAATCACCCGTGGACCTCTTATATTAGATCGGTTTGACGAAAAACAACATTTTTCTCAATAACTCAAAAGCTATGCATCCTAGCAGCATGAGCTCAAGGTGGCCATTGTTACGAAGGAAAACAAACATAGTGAGTGCATAAAGCAGTAGATACCAGCAGCGGTTCAGCCGGGAGGGCTGGTGGTCCGTCTTGCCCCGCTGGGCCGTCTTACCCCACCTTCCCCTACAGTACAAAGTACGTATACCTAGACAATTACAAAAGTACGTCAAAGACGAAAATACGCATCGAAAAAGTACGTAAATTATCAAGTACGTATATCGCTAAGGTACGTACCCTTGCTGACTTGCATAGATGTCGCAATCGGTCGCAACTACAGCGAGACATGCAGTGCAAACGGTAGCAGACAGCAGTAGTTTCCCCTACCAAAGTGGTGGCTTTCTACCACAGACGCTCGTCGAGGTCGGAATTTCCAAATACGCACAGTCAGGAGTCCTTGACTCTGAGCCCTGAGAGTTTTCCCTAAAAAGTCCCTGGTACTTACGAAATATTGACTACAAAAATAAATATAGCTCAACTGTTCAATTTTCCGCAGAATCTTCCGTCAACAGGAGAATTTGATTTTTAGAGGTGTATACTGCTCACGATAGCGGTCAGTATCAAGAATCTCGAACACGCCAGCTGTTTCCTTCATTTGTGGATTTGTCGGATTTGTATACGTGGAGGCGGCGGGACACGCCTAAGAGCTGGACTTTTTGATGACGTCTTCGGGTGACGTCATGTCGTGTGTGACGTTTCGTGAGCAGGTAAGGAAAAGTCACCACCGCTGGCGAACATTGGTGCGGTAAATGGCAAACACAAATGCTGCGCAGAAAAGACAAAGGTGTAACTTCAGACAACATTCGTTCGGACGACAATGTCAAGGCGAATCAAGAAGTTCTTCATGCGATTGTTAGTTATCTGTCGTGCTATTTTAGTATGATTGTTATTAGCAGTTGATTTGTGAAATGTATTATCAAAATCAATGTTTATTGAACGCAGATTCAGTTTATTTTCAGATGTACCTGTAACCTAGGTACCCTTACACTACACTCATCTCAAGCTGTTCAAACACCCTTGACAAAGTCGATTAAGATGAAAGGTTGGGTATAATTTATACTGTGTTTTCTCTGCATTATTAACATATTCATCATATATACAATATAAGGACCACATGCTTTTTACATGTGTCCACATGTTTCGGTCAAGACGCGTGATGGTCGTGTCGTGTAGCTACAAAGTGATGGATTTTTTTAATTTTAATATAGTCCGAATGGTTGATTGGGCGGCTTGTTGCACATAATGACCCGAAGTTTGTGGTAAAACTAGTTTGCGGGGTATTCGATGAACAAGTGATTTATTGCAATTCTTATTGCCTGGCTATATTGATGAAAACAATAATTATTATTGCCATTTGTTACATGTCATATTACACTCTACAACACGCATCATGGTCATTAATAAGACAATTTGACGTTTAACAAGAGAATTTGAGAGACAAAATAACGATGTTAACTTCTTGCGTTTTGAGCAATAATGGAATGATGTTAAGTTTTGATACAGTCTTGCTTACACTTGACTCCCAGCTGTTGTGTCTTTGCTATGCGATGTTAAACATATAAAACATCTTACTATTCATGTATGCGCCATGACTCATGTAATCTTTTCACAGCCAAGACGCTCCTAAGGTACTGGGAATGTGGGGAGTGCAGCAGCACCGATGGTCGGCTGCGACGGCTGCGATTAATGGTACCACTTCCGTTGTGCGGGACTGACTAAGGAGCCAGGTAAGCGCAATTGTTTTCTGTCTCAGTATTTTTGTTGCAGCTGTAGTGATCAATGAAATATTTTCCGCACTGTTCAGCCAAACATGTATTTCAAACAATCTGCTTCCCAACCAAGGGTGTCGCCACAGGGGGGGGGGGGGGACGGAGGGGATCTCGTCCCCTCCACTTTTTAAAATTTTAACATTACGCCTATGGCGTTGCATGGAAAGAATCGACTTGAAATGGTCCTCGTCCCCTCCAAAATGGTCAATGTCCCCTCCAGTCGTCGCATCGTGGCGTCGCCCCTGTTCCCAACTACACAAATTTAGTCAAACAATGTGCCAATATGGAATTTTCAGGTTCAGTTGAATGAAATAGGAACAATGATAATTGTAGATTACGTATACCTGCAAGAGAGGAAAACAGAATACATTGTATTGCTTGTCCTTCACCGATACTGCTATTTTTCCATTTCTAGAAACACCGACATGGCGATGCAGGTGGTGCTGCCTGGTGAGGCCGCGGTCTCCGGAATCGCCTGCAGACGAAGTCACCTGGCGTCCATCTGCACATCACTTGCAGCAGTGAGGCCTGCTGACAGCGTCTGGCAGTGTCGGCAACGTGCCAGACAGCTATCTGGAGTCCTGCTCACCGCAGGTTGCGGACAGGAGGGGCGACGCATCGTCTCCGAGGTCGCCTCAGCAGCAGTGAGACCCCACTGGCCGTCTTCTTAGGCTTCAACTAGATTGCGAACAACCTATGCTGAGACAACGCCCATGACGTGTGATCCGGTACCGCTACCGCACTGCGTGCCTGTGCCCGCCGTGAGCCGCTAGTGCATGGGTTCGACCATGAGAATATGTGTTTATGTTGCTTTTACTATTGTTTATACGTTGAAGTGACGAATTGTTTATTTTTCGCAAGCCTCCGCTGTCCGGTTGCCTGCAGCTCCATGCAACGCCAGCTGTACTGTTGTTTTAATGTTGTCTCTCCGCTCAGCTGTACTGTTGCCTCTCCGCTCATATATGACACCCTCTATATGAATGGCACTACTGATTGTCAAACCCACTGTCCGTATTGTCCGTAGTGGTGTCTACGCCCATGTGCATACAGCGTGCAGAATCCAGATTCTATTGACTGTATCAATACTGTATCAGCGTATGGGGTGCCTGCTGCATCGCTCAGAGGAAACGCATCCAAAAGGTGCTGGATTTCGGCGCACGTGTCGTGTCTGGCCTCAGCCGAAGAGATCACGTGACTCCTGTGCTTAACGAGCTGGGTTGGAAGTGTGTGGACGATTTGATTCGTGACAGTGACGTAGCTGTGGTTAGTCGCCTACTAATTCGGACAGTGCACCACAAATCCTGCGGAGCAAGTTGGTGCTCAGCTCCGACGAGTCAGCTCGCACCACGCGTGCGACCGAGCGGGGACAGCTGCGTCTGCCCCGGGTCCAAACCGAGTTCGGCCGTCGTGGATTTTTGTTTCGCGCCAGCCAGCACTGGAACGAGTCCTCAGGAGCGCGTCAACAGTAGGTGTGGTCGACTGGTTAGTGTACCGGAAGATGTCTTAGATGTGTATTTTACTCTGTGGTTTCACTTCTATCCGGTTTTACTGCAGTGTTTTATCCAGATGTGTTTTCGCATGTATACGACGTGGTCACCACAAAACCCATGTAATGGAGGGACCTAATAAAATTGTATTGTATTGTATTGTATTGAGGAGAGTTGAGCCAAGTCACCATAGGCTCGGGAAGAGAGCAACGTGGAGGCCCACTGCCCCTTCCTTGGCCCCCACTGGGGGCGCCAGCCACTCCAACTTTTGACTGGATGTCAAGAGCGTCGCCACGAGGGGAACGAGTCGCCGGCCAGCCAAGGTAGCCAACGGCGTGTGAAGGTTGCCTGACCTCGAGGAAACTGAGATGGCACCAACGGAGGTTTTGTTAAGTAGGCGACCAAAATTCGAGCGGCAGCAACCTGGGCACCTTCACTGATAGCAGTGCCGCGTATCAGGGCGCCTTCGACGCTGAGCTGGGCGCCGGCCGCCGATCATCAGGACGCCGGGGGAATATGACCCAATATCCCCCGTAAATATGTGCCTCGGAAGGGAGACCCAACCATAAAACTGAAAGCTCGCCGTATTTGATCCACTATTTTTCGAGCAGGTCCATAGATTTCCGTCCTCAAAAGTGCGGGGATATTCCCCAGTGTTTGAGTTGGATGGGACTATAGTGGCGTTTACACCGACAGGAGATTCCCATTGCCGGCTGTGGGAAACTACTGTCGGTGTAAACGCCATTCATATTTCCTGCATCACCCCTGTGGGGACGCCCTTACTCCATGGTGCCGAGCTTATCAATTGGGATATCAATGGAATCAAAATCTCTTATCGATCGATGAAGAACTAAATTACCCCGACCCGGAGAGCGTCTTTGAAATCAAAGCAGTAGCACATGACGCAAGACTTCAGGCAAATAAATCCTTCTTGTCTGAAATAAAACATTTGTGTATTGATAAGCACGTTTTATAAGCAATAGTAGCAAGATTCTCGATGTATTTGTCCTTGGTGATAATTTAGTAGCAGATACTTACCGTCGCATTTCGTTTTTTCTAATTAATAATTTATATTGTCAGAACTAGCAACATGTCTCTTCGCTCAACAAAAATTACAAAAGTGAAAAGGAAATGATAAATTGCTTATATATTGGTGAAACTGAAAATTAATTCAGCACATATTTTTTTTTTACAGCGTTGAAGTCCAGCTCCAAAGGACAGCTGACGATCGTAGCCGAGCAGGCAGTTTGGTACTTCTTCACTACTTCTTAGAAGTACCCGTTAGTACCGATCATGTCTCACATAATAAGCTATTGGAACAAAAATATGCATGTTTTTCTAATAATTCTCCTTTCACACTTAAAATAAATACTTTTGAAATGCATTTACTAATTAATTCAACAAAAACGGCTTGAAATTTTACAACGTCAAAATACTTATTCCAATTTCCACCATGAAACCACCACTATATTACTTGCTTACAGAACCGTGCGCACAGTGCGCGCAGTTTTATCGTGACGTCAGAGGGTGCTTCCTCAGTGGCGCCCCCTGGCGGGGAACGCGTGCAAAAAGTCCAGCTCTTAGGCATGTCCAGGCGGCGGCGGCGGCGACCGTGGGGTGGGGAAGGTTAGAGGGCCTTGGTTAGAGGTTAAATACCTTGGTTAGGGGTTAGGGGTTGGTTAGGGGTGCCCTTGGAATTATTTTTTTTTGGTTGGGGGGAATAATCTTACAATATCAATATATTTGTGTGTTTATATTTATAATTTTCAACGTTATGTTTGTTCTTGTCATTGTGGGACTCCATACCTCCAACTAGGTACATTTTGAGAAATTGACAACACTGACTCCTAATAAGCTTAGACAGCATTGTACCTGTTCTGTTGTTCTGCATGCTACCATGGCTGATCTGGCTGGGTCATGGGTGGTCGGAGAGGCTGATGTAACCTAGCGTTTTGGCTGGGCTGATATTGGCGCAGGTTTCCATTGAAACAAGCAGAATTGTGGATTATTTAAGCTTTATGTTTTCATAGAAACTAAGCACCAATGCACCTTGGCATCAGGTAGCATTGTAAGCTGAAACCAAAACAGCAGAGGATTGGGTAAATGTCAAGATAAAGTCCTAAGAAGGCTTAAAGGATATTTTTTTCTTCATAATCTTACATTATTTGATATCCTGAATCAAAAAAAAAAATGATACGTCTAGCAAGTCAAAGGAAAAAACATAATCAAACCTGATCCTTATCTTACTAACAACCCAGAACCTACAATTACAAACCTACAACCTAAAATTTCTGCTGTTTCATATAATTTATATCAACAGTGCCACAACTGTAGATCTGACCTTATCTTGACAAATACCAAGGATAAAAACACAGGAATTCCTGACCCCCAATATTGATGTGTTTAAGCATTGCTCCCAAAATTGCTTTCATTTTCATGTTTTCATCATGGCTACTTACCTACCCACCAAGTTGGTCATATTATATATGATAAATAGGTACTTGAAATTATATTACCAGTATAACGCCTTCTGGGGCGACTAACGGAGCGAGCGAGAGGGTGAGCCTTGCACGTGCCAAATTTTGTGGGAGTACCTCCAACTGACTTGCGCATGGCACCCTACTAACCGGTCTCTAGCGATGTGCCAAATTTGAGCACAATCGGCCCAGCCATTCTCGAGATCTGGAAGCGGCACCCTGCACGTGGGCACATACAAAATGGGTCCCAACTGACTTGTGCGCGGCACCCTACTAACTGGTCCCTAACCGTGTACCAAATTTGAGAGCCATCGGTCCAGCCATTCTCGAGATCTGGAATCGACCCCTGCACGTGCGCACGTGCAGCAGCACCCCAACTCTGGCACATGGATATGCATTGCCTAGTGGGTGCCTACCTACATGCCAACTTTCAGCGCAATCGGCCCAGTAGTTACCGAGATATTGCAACAATTACAAAACCGACACCTCTTCGTTTTGCACGTGGCACTTGCATAAGGTGTCACCCACATGCATCGGGAATAGTCCAATACTTGGTAGAAGGAATGAAGCTACCCTACAAAAATTACCGCATGTAAATCGGTCAAAGTGGTTGCTGAGATATAAGCATCGCAAAAGCGTCCGCACGGCCGGCCGGCCGCTCATACTCAGAAATTTTCGTTAATCTAAGGAAAGACTACGCTCGCTTCGCTCGCTCGGTAATGAGTACTGAGCATTTTATTTATTATATTCCCTTCATGGTTTAGAAGATGCAAAAAATGTATGTTTTTCCTTATTGATAATTTTTAAGCCATACCTAAATTTTGCTTTAACAGTTGAGTGGTCTGTGGGCTAAGGTAAGCAGTGCTTGCTGCAAATGATACCACTGACCCAACAGGCACCAGCTGACCTGGCCCGTGCTAGGTTTAATGGCGATAATTTGAATTGAAATCCTAGCATAACGCCAATGCTGCTGCTCCTTTCACAGGCAGGCTCTGTCGGGTTCTGGCGCCGGCGGCAGGATGAGTCTGGTGATGCTGCGCCGCGGCCGCGTCCTGAAGCTGACGGCGGTCGCACTCTGCCTGGTGCTGATCATACTCTTCCTGCTGCCCGGAGACCGCAGGGGACAGCTGCTCGAGCCCAGCTTCCAGGCCAGAGTTAGCAAGGTGAGCAGCCTAGTCACAGTTGGCATGAACTCGTGGATGTTGTTATGACATCATCGGCTCTTTGCCCAGACTCTTGATGACCTTACAGATGGTAAATCTACAAGAGCTACCTACGCTTACAGTCACTCTAGGATACACTCTAGTGACTAGTCACTCTGGCTAGCCTCACTGAAGAGGGTGCTTGTCTTTGCTTGATATGTTATTGTTGACTTTCCAGTCACACACCGATGTAATATAGTGCCCCTGTCTGTCGTTTCACAGCTGACCAGCGGACGCGTCGTCTCGCCGCCCGTCTACAATGCCAACAAGCCAGGCAACTATGAGCCTCCGCCGGAGCGGGAGCGCACCGGTCCCGGCGAGAAAGGCCAGCCGCACCGCGTGTCACGCGCCAAACAGAACCTGGCCGCGCAGAGCGAGAACGAGTACGGCATGAACATGGCCGTCTCGGACGAGATATCGCTGGACCGCAGCGTGCCCGACACCAGGGACCCCGAGTGAGTCCGGCCGCAGGGAGAGGGGAGACGAGTGGGAGAGGTGAGGGTGCGGGAGAGGAGGTGATTTAGAGCTGCGGCCTGTACCGGTCCGTCGTGGTGAAGGAGAGGGACAGATGATCACGGAAAGCAACTGATACGTCTTGAAACCGCAGAATATCTGGTGGCGCATGTTTAGTTCTGATGATAAACTTAAAACTGCGGTTAATTTTGCAAGCAGGCTTATTCTGAGTATCATTTGTTTACGTGATTTTCCCGTCAATTAACTGGTCTGTAAGTTCCTGAGGGCTGTTCACGGGCCCTGTGTGCGGTCGGACCGCACACAGCCTCCAAGCTCCGCCCACTGCGTCCCTACGTCAGCCTTCCGTCACCGCACACAGCGATCGCTGTGGCCGGTCGGGACTGGCCACAGCGGACCGTCCACCGCACGCAGCCGTGACGTCAGAGCCGCCTACCCATCCCCTACCCCCACGCCTGCTGGACGCACCGCACACACCGCACGCAGCAGTGTGCGGTGCCCCTCTGGTCGATCGGTTGTAACTGACACTTTGCACACGTAATTTTCATCACGGTTTTAGGAGAATGATGTTTAGGCGAAACAGCAAAGGAAAACAAATTTAGAAGTCATAAATGAAAACAATCTAATTTTGTTGTAAGCAATTAGTAACTTCTATGTCGTTCGTCACCACTACTCGCACACACGCCTTGCCCGTTCGCCCGTTTCATGTGCTGCTAAGGTCTCCCCCTGCCCCTCCGTCAGGTGTAAGCACTGGGACTACCCGGAGGACCTGCCCAGCACCTCGGTCATCATCGTCTTCCACAACGAGGGCTGGTCGACGCTGATGCGCACTGTACACAGCGTGGTGAACGGATCGCCGGCCAAACTGCTGCACGAGATCATCCTGGTGGACGACTTCAGTGACAAAGGTGGGGTCACGGAGCGGTGGGAGGGTGGGTGGGTGAGGGAATATTGGTACACTTTGGGGACAGGGATGAGGATGAGGGCGGCCGGTGTGCGACTTTTTGGGGTGCATTGAAATTAGAAGTTAACAGCGGGCCTTGTCATGATTTTGATGCTTCAGTAGGTATGCTTTATCATCGTCGAGGGATGCGCCCAAACGCTAATCGTTGGATCGCTTATAGTGTCAGGCAGATGGGAGTGTAGCCGCCAGGACTGGACCACAGATAGCTCTGACGGCGTCCTCGGGCCCGTCTTTATTCCGTTTTTGCTGCATGCGATAAAAGCGACCACAGTGTTGTCCGTGCCGCGGGTCTCGGTAACGGATGCAAACAATCGCCACCTCAATGACCGTAGCCCTTCGATACTCCATAGAACTTGTGGAAGAAGCTGGTGTCGGTTTTTTGGCGCCGTCTCTTTATTAATCTGGTCTGTCCCGCTAGGTTTTAGCCGACCTGAGAGACAGGCTTCTGTTCCGTCACCATCCTTACATTGACCCGCACCCTTACAGGGGACCTGATAGAGAAGTTCGTGACCCACTCCCCTCTCTGACCCTTCCAGAGGACCTGAAGGAGAAGCTGGTCACCCACATCCGTCAGTTCGACGGCCGGGTGAAGCTGCACCGTAACACAGAGCGGGAGGGCCTGATCCGGACCCGGACGCGCGGCGCCCAGCTGGCCACCGGCGAGGTCATCGTGTTCCTGGACGCCCACTGTGAGGTCAACGCCAACTGGCTGCCGCCCCTGCTGGCACCCATCGCTCTGGACAGGTGGGATGGAGACGGGGTTTACGGGCCCGGTGCATTGACCGTGTGTGGTAAGGGGGAGGGTTACTAGCGTCCATCGCACTGAACAGGTGAGACAGGAAGAGAGGGGATAGGGGGTACCAGGGCTCGGTGCATTGACCATGTGTGGTAGGGGGGGAGGTTTACTAGCGTCTATCGCACTAACCAGCTGCGACTGCTTGTGTTGGGGTGTGCGGGGTGGACATGGGGGGGGAGGGGGGTTAGAAAGGACAGGTGCGGGCCGCTGGCAATGGGAGTTGGGGAGGAGCTACTGATGTCCATCGTCCTGGACAGGTGTGGTTGGTGGTGGTGGTGGTGGGGGAGGGGGGGAGGCAAAAACACATCGCGCTGGTCAGGTTTGCGAGACAGACACGTAATGAAAACGGCAAGATATGGGATAATAACTAATAAGACATTGAAATGCCAATGACATGTGACTTCACTTCAGATCTCTGTTTAGACCGACTAAAATCCGGTAGGTGGGGCAATCCTTCTACTGTGGTGGTTGAACTTTTTCAGCGATTCGTTGCGCATGCGTTTCCCAGTTTGACCCTCCCCCACCCACTGACCGTCACCCCCGTCTCTCTCTCTCTCCATCAGGACGCGGATGACTGTTCCGATCATTGACGGCGTGGATCACAGTACGTTCGAGTACCGCCCCGTCTACCAGTGGACGTCCCGCTTCCGCGGCATCTTCGAGTGGGGCATGCTCTACAAGGAGAACGACATTCCCGAGCAGGAGAGCAGGCAGCACGCGCACAGATCAGAGCCATACAGGTGGGTCAGGCCTCGGAGATTTAAACCGTGGAGAGGGGTGGATTAATTAGGTGGGGCAATCCTTCTATTGGATGAGTAACAAAACAGTCTGGTTTCTGCGAAATAACAAACATCTCCTGAGATGCTTTTACGAATGGGTCGAATTTATCTTTTAAATGTCGACATTGAAGAATGCCGAAAGTATACTGTAGAATGAGGAAAGTGGAAACAATACCTTTTGTGAGATTTCTACATCGTGTTTCACGTACTGCACATGTGGCTAACTGTGTCACAACTGACTATGTTGGACTGACTTGGACCGACTATGACTGTGTGCCGCAGGGCGCCGACACACGCGGGCGGTCTGTTCGCCATTGACCGCTCCTACTTCCTGGAGCTGGGCGCCTACGATCCCGGACTGCTCGTTTGGGGCGGAGAAAACTTCGAGCTCTCGTTCAAGGTACCGCCGGGGGACGCGAGCGTGACAAACTTGTGTGTCGAGACAGAGTTCTCGGGAAGTGACATCCTAAATCATCAGTGTCCTGAAATTGATTTTTCGGAGAGTGTGATTGAAGCCGCAAGGACGTCGCTATTTAAAAAGGACGTCGATATCGGTGCGGAGCCTAAGCCACTGGAGATCCCTTACCTAAATCTCTTAAAATTAGCGATTTTCACTGGCAATATTGACTAATACCAACTCAAGGCACCTCAAATGATCATATCAATATATAGACACAAAGTAATGCCAGTTTACCCCTAGTAAAATACAAAATTCAAGCATTCACCACAAACACCAAAACAACACTTTGAAGATGTCTAGTTCTTGTCCATGATCGTACACAACAGTCAACAACAAATATGCTTAAAAAAAATCAGCCCAAGAGCCAGCGGCTATCACTAAATATTGACGTCATAAGAGGGATATCATATCGAGCAAGAGGACTGATGTAAAAAAGCAGACGTCCAAACAATGAGGTGGAAAACAGTTCGGAAAAATAATTTCCATAGCTTACTGTTATGAAATTCAATTAAGAAAACTCCGAGGTGGACGCTGAATTTTTCTTGGCTGGAAAAAATGTGAAATCATTGTGCACTTTTCAGTTTTGTACCGACGTCGATTAAATGGGAATAACAAGGTCAATCGACGTCCCCAACATTGCGTGTATTTTTAAGCCAAGGACGACATACTTGAATTAATTCTGTTGAAATTCGGTAACTTTATTCTAATTCAAACAGATAAACATTAAACTTTTTCCCCAACCACTATCAACATATGCAAAATTAACTATTTTTGAAGGGCATGTTCAAAGGGCAGCGCTAACCCGTTCCAGTGACCTTCTGAGGGGAAAAAATAATTAAATATGTTACAGTAATTTGATACGAAAGGTATGTTGCGTGCTTATAGTTAAATGTCCAAGTAATATATTCGCATGATTAATTTTTATCTATACACTGCACAGTTACTAAAACTGAAAAGTGGAAAACGACGTCCTCAGATTCCTCTATTCCGACATCCTTTCTCCTTCATATGGCAGCATTACCTTCACCTGGTAAAGGAAAAAACCTATCCATATCTGACGCACAGAAAACAAAAATAAAATAAAACCGCGTTGTTTACTGTTGCGGCAGTTGGCCAGGAAAGGGGAGTTGAGTGTAAGAGTGGGTTTGTGAGGACTTATGTCTTATGATATATTTATTGTCATTTTGCATAGCCGTGTTTTTAGGCTACAGAGGTGATATTTCCTTTTGTTAGTTTGCTTTTGGTGTTCGATATACCTATCGACTTTTATCTGTCAGGGACGTCGTTTGGCTTTCCGGGACGTCACAAAGAGAATCTGTTAGGTGTGGGTTTCCACCCAAATTCACGAAAATCAGGACACTGTAAATCATCGGATGGCTGCTTCCCCATTCACACAAACTTTTCTTGCACATGCAAACTGTCACACTTTTTGGTTAACCTATTGTGATGTTTACGGCGCCTTAGTGCACCCCTCATATTACCCAACCGGGTTCACTATTGATGGCTAATTGTGTCTCTGTTCCCCCAGATCTGGCAGTGTGGTGGCAGCATCGTCTGGGTGCCCTGCTCCCGATCCTGTGTAAATATCTCCGCCTTATGTGACAGTGTCTCTGTTCCCCCAGATCTGGCAGTGTGGTGGCAGCATTGTGTGGGTGCCCTGCTCCCGATCCTGTGTAAATATCCCCGCCGTATGTGACAGTGTCTCTGTTCCCCCAGATCTGGCAGTGTGGTGGCAGCATCGTCTGGGTGCCCTGCTCCCGATCCTGTGTAAATATCCCCGCCTTATGTGACAGTGTCTCTGTTCCCCCAGATCTGGCAGTGTGGTGGCAGCATTGTGTGGGTGCCCTGCTCCCGATCCTGTGTAAATATCCCCGCCGTATGTGACAGTGTCTCTGTTCCCCCAGATCTGGCAGTGTGGTGGCAGCATTGTGTGGGTGCCCTGCTCCCGATCCTGTGTAAATATCCCCGCCGTATGTGACAGTGTCTCTGTTCCCCCAGATCTGGCAGTGTGGTGGCAGCATTGTGTGGGTGCCCTGCTCCCGATCCTGTGTAAATCTCCCCGCCGTATGTGACAGTGTCTCTGTTCCCCCAGATCTGGCAGTGTGGTGGCAGCATCGTCTGGGTGCCCTGCTCCCGATCCTGTGTAAATATCCCCGCCTTATGTAACAGTGTCTCTGTTCCCCCAGATCTGGCAGTGTGGTGGCAGCATCGTCTGGGTGCCCTGCTCCCGATCCTGTGTAAATATCCCCGCCTTATGTGACAGTGTCTCTGTTCCCCCAGATCTGGCAGTGTGGTGGCAGCATTGTGTGGGTGCCCTGCTCCCGATCCTGTGTAAATATCCCCGCCGTATGTGACAGTGTCTCTGTTCCCCCAGGTCTGGCAGTGTGATGGCAGCATTGTGTGGGTGCCCTGCTCCCGATCCTGTGTAAATCTCCCCGCCGTATGTGACAGTGTCTCTGTTCCCCCAGATCTGGCAGTGTGGTGGCAGCATCGTCTGGGTGCCCTGCTCCCGATCCTGTGTAAATATCCCCGCCTTATGTGACAGTGTCTCTGTTCCCCCAGATCTGGCAGTGTGGTGGCAGCATCGTCTGGGTGCCCTGCTCCCGCTCCCGTGTAAATATCCGTGCCCTGTGTGACAGTGTCTTTGTTTCTCCAGATCTGGCAGTGTGGCGGCAGCATCGTCTGGGTGCCCTGCTCCCGATCCTGTGTAAATATCTCCGCCTTATGTGACAGTGTCTCTGTTCCCCCAGATCTGGCAGTGTGGTGGCAGCATTGTGTGGGTGCCCTGCTCCCGATCCTGTGTAAATATCCCCGCCGTATGTGACAGTGTCTCTGTTCCCCCAGATCTGGCAGTGTGGTGGCAGCATTGTGTGGGTGCCCTGCTCCCGATCCTGTGTAAATCTCCCCGCCGTATGTGACAGTGTCTCTGTTCCCCCAGATCTGGCAGTGTGGTGGCAGCATCGTCTGGGTGCCCTGCTCCCGATCCTGTGTAAATATCCCCGCCTTATGTGACAGTGTCTCTGTTCCCTCAGATCTGGCAGTGTGGTGGCAGCATTGTGTGGGTGCCCTGCTCCCGATCCTGTGTAAATCTCCCCGCCCTGTGTGTGACAATGTCTCTGCTCCCCCAGATCTGGCAGTGTGGTGGCAGCATTGTGTGGGTGCCCTGCTCCCGAGTCGGACACGTTTATCGAGGCTTCATGCCCTACAGCTTCGGCGAGCTCGCCAAAAAGAAGAAGGGACCGCTTATCACTATCGTAAGGAACACCACATTTTGGCTTCAGCGAGCAATGAGCACCTTAAGTCGGAAAACTTTCGCTCTCTTTGATATTTTATGTTGTTACTTTTTACAACTAAAAACTTCAACTTTTGTGTTGAGCTTTTATACAATTACCGCAGTTTTGATCAAATATCGTCAACAAACGAGCCGTAACTTGACCGTAAACACAAGTGTGTTGGCCGGTCAGGCTCATTCAATCGGGGAACTTAGTCGAGCAGATGGCGTGCCGATCGCGGCGGTGCAGGGCCGGACGCTGTGTATTTCCGCTGGTGGGTGCTATTGGATCTAATTTGCTATCTCTGCCGTTCCCCAGAACTACAAGCGTGTGATCGAGACTTGGTTCGACGAGAAGCACAAGGAGTTCTTCTACACGCGCGAGCCGATGGCGCGCTTCCTGGACCACGGCGACATTTCTGAGCAGCTGGCCTTCAAGGAGCGCAACAAGTGCAAGAGTTTCCAGTGGTTTATGGACAACGTGGCGTACGACGTGGTGGAGAAGTTCCCCGAACTGCCGCCCAACATACACTGGGGAGAGGTGAGGGAGATGGCGGGGACACTGGGGAGATAAAGAGGGGGGGGGACACTGGAAGCTGCCGCCCAACATACACTGGGGAGAGGTGAGGGGGATGGTGGGGACACTGGGGGAGATAACGGGGAGGGGTGGGGACACTGGATGCTGCCGCCCAACATACACTGGGGAGAGGTGAGGGGGATAGTGGGGTCACTGGGAGCTGCCGCCCAACATCCACTGGGGAGAGGTGAGGGGGATAGATGGGACACTGGGGGAGAAGAGGAGGGGGTGGGGACACTGGAAGCTGCCGCCCAACATACACTGGGGAGAGGTGAGGGGGATAGTGGGGACACTGGGGGAGATAAAGAGGAGGGGGTGGGGATAACTGGAAGCTGCCGCCTAACATACACTGGGGAGAGTTTAGTGAGTGTATTGGTCACACTGGGGAGAGGTGAGGGGGATAGTAGGGACACTGGGAGAGAGATAAAGAGGAGGGGGTGGGGACACGGGAAGCTGCCGCCCAACATTCACTGGGGAGAGCTGGTAAGAGGGAGATGGTGGGGACACTGGGGGAGATAAAGAGAAGGGGATGGGACACTGGAAGCTGCCGCCCAACATACACTGGGGAGAGTTTAGTGGGTGTATTGGTCACACTGGGGAGAGGTGAGGGGGATAATTGGATAGGCGGGGATAGTTGGAACGCTGGAAAGAGGGATAGAAACATTGGGGAGAGGTAAGAGCGGTGGTGAGATCTCGAGACCAGTTACCTAGTACCTGGTTATAACTCGGGATGGATAACTTTGTCATTATACATCGCCCGGGTGTTTTTTTTTTTTAAGAAATAATTTTGTTATTCAGAGCAAGAAAATGTAAAGTCGTCATTGTGACACTTCTGATCCGGCGCTTACTGACAAGATGAGACTGGAGGCAGATTGTCTATTAAAACAACCTGCATGACGCCTCATTTGTTAAACTTCAATATTTTATCTGCATGAGGGTTGTATCGAAAGCTGGCATACGAGTACTAGCTGTTTCTTCGAGCTGAACGGCAGGTGTTGTTCATGCCATCGCCAACAACGCCAACACCCTCCCCCATGTGTTTGTGGGTAATTTGGTCGCATGCATTTACATTCCTTTTTATTGATGTGCCACTTTCCAATCAACATTATGGTGACAGCAGCGGTTATCACCGCCATCCGTCTTCCGAATTCAAGGTGAACCGGTGGTGGGAGCTCAGCACCAGCCCTAGCGGTCCGCTTCTCCCGAACCCCTGGTTATCGCAAAATGCAGCGGATTTACTGATGTCGGTCCTATAAATTATGCCTTTGGTGATAGTTAAATGATGTCATATTGGTCAGTACGTTTTTTTTCCTTTGCCTGTCTGTGCCCTTAACCCTGTGAGAGCTTGTCGTTTTTATCTTGTCTCAGTGATATATACTCTGCTACTCTGACTTAACCTTTATGGCCGCTACCCGAGATAGAAATAACGGGTTTGGAGACAATGGTTAAAGAAAATGGACGTTCCTGATGACAAATAATTTGGTGGTTAAGTTACAAATGAACAAGTTAACCCTTTTTGACCTTGTGCGTTAGCATAGCAAAAATTAGCATTTATGCCCTGCTTCCAGTTATTAGCTCTGATTGTGGAATTGATTGTTGATTTATTTTGCAAGTTTTATGTTTTCTGGCTGACACTATTTTACGGATGTTTCCATAAAACGCATGACATTCTGGTGTTGGTTGCTGGGTACTTATTGGTGACGGTTGATCGGCAGGTAAGCATTTTTTTCTTTTGTACCTTGCAGATTTTAAATGCTTTTATCGTTGCTTCTTCCTTTTTGTGTCCGATTTTTGTATTTTATATAATAATTTGTAACTACTCCCTCCTATGTCGCAAACCTTTCTCGTTGCGTGCCTTTTAACGCAAATTTACGCAAATAAATTAACTGCCTCTTTACGGTGCAATATAATAATAAGGTAACAGACGCGTCGTGAGCGTACAGTGCCCCTATCACGCCCTTCCTGTCCTGCAGCTGCGTAACTCTGCGGACGGCCGGTGTCTGGACACGATGGGCCAGCCGGCGCCCACCAACATGGGCGTCTCGCCGTGCCACGGCTACGGCAACAACCAGCTGATCCGACTCAACTCGGCCGGTCAGCTGGCCGTCGGCGAGCGCTGCGTAGAGGCCGACGGGCACACGGTCAAACTGGCCTTCTGCCGGCTCGGCACCGTCGACGGACACTGGCAGTACAGCGAGGTGGGTGACTAGTACGACGACGTTTCGTTGGGATGTATGGAGGGATGGGGTGGAAAAGTGTCTTGTGAGTTGTGATGTTGCCTTTTATGTTTTGCGGCAGTAGCTAGTTTGTCGATGGGGCCCAGTGTAAGTTTTCCGAGTCTATCCCCCTATTTCGCCTCAGTAAAAGGTGTGCATTCGTTTTGAAGGCTTCCGTTGATATTTTACCTCTCTTTTCCAGACGAGTCAGTCCATGTTCCACCGTCGTTTGAAGAAGTGCATGGCTCTGGATCCCGGCTCTGGGCAGCTGAAGATGCTGGACTGTGATGAGCGCGACAGCTACAAGAAGTGGCAGTGGAAGCAGCTGACGCCCCGCTGGTGATCGGACTCGGTGTGATGATCCGAGGACTGAGTTTCGTTGTGAAGGCTGAGACAGGAAGGCTGAAACAGTTACTGCAGCCGAGCTCTGAGCTGTGTTCCGAGTGAAACTGACCGTCTGTGCCTCGATTTTGTTGGCGGGTGTGTACCGAAGCGGTCAGGAGTGTGCTGGGACATCCCGTCCAGGGGACCACCACCGTAGGCTGACCAGGCCACAGTCTGACCCGGGCCGGCACTCCTCACATAATTGAAATGACGCCTTCCTCGCTGCTGCGGTCTGCGGTCTCGGTTGCCGGCCGGCCGGTCCGGTAGCTGTGGCACCGCGGTGACCCGGCTGGTCGCTGCGGCAGCCGCACCCTGTCCTCTATCAGCCCGCCGACCTGTCCGGCCCGGCGGCCCGGATCTCAGCGGCCGGTCCGGGCTGCGGTCCCGGCTGCCGTCACGGTGACCGGCGGCGGCGGATACCACCCTGCGGGACGAGGTTGCCGACCCGCTCAGACGCTCTCAGGAGCGACTCGGCGACACCGACCGCCCGACTGAGCTGTGCTGTGGGCAGGAGGAGGGGAGGGTGGACCCTCTGAACTCTGCGGTAACACCTAACGGCACCGCACGCCGAGAAATTATGTGATCCTGTCACTGGGACTGTCGCTGGGAGTTTGTGCCGTGTTCTCAGTGGCTGTAAATCTACGGAGCCTCTCAGTGTGTGAGCAGTGCGATAGGACGTCCTATGGAGGTTAGCGCTGCGAGGCGGTCACTGCGGCACAACTGGGGGTGGACACTCCGAGTGTGTTTTACGGTGGCGGTGATTTGGTGGGGATGAGACGCGCTGAATTCGCTGATCAGCGACATTTCGGTGCCGTTAACTGAATTTGAGTGATGTTAAGGAACCAAGGGCTCAACTCCGTGGTAGATATTGACGTGATTGCTTTGGGGTTTGTACTTGCGTCCTGGGACATGGAAGAGGTTCATTCTACTATGATGAGCTGAAAGAACATTCCTCGTATTTGTCCGCTACTTTGTGCTGTTCTGGAGGCCAGGCTGTTGGCAATGCCTGGCTCGAGTGTTATGACGGGAGTTGTATTTTTCACATTGTTGGCATCCCACTCGTTGATAGAATACTTACGATTTATTATTGTTCTAAGTGTTGATGTTGGTGTTCCCAGACTATAAAGGGTATCTCCCAAAGATAACGAGATAGTTATATTACGGACGGACTCAACCATATTGAATTTAACATTATGCTTCTGTTGTGTCTGCATTGTGACCAATGAACTCGGTTGGAGGTTTTATGGGACTGCTGTGCCGTGCATCTTGTTCTGTTACGAGTGATGAGCACGGCTTGTGGCGATATACTATCTGATACACCGTTCCATGTGTGTCGCAACAAATTATTTCTGTGCATCAGACGGATGTGGTGACCAAATACAGGTGCTGGGAAAGAGTTATCTCTTTTGTATTGACGCAGCGCGAAGTTATGGGCGGATGATTTGTCAAATGGAATGTGTTCGAAACACGGCTTATATTGTTCGAGTTAACCTGCTTGAGTAGCATGCAGAAACATGCCTACACCGGACATCGCACAAGAATCAGGAAAACTCCTTTTCATGAGATGTTGAAGCTTTCTTCCGGCTCACATTTTTAATGAGGTAGTTTGAAGGAGCAAAGTGAGAGACGCACTAAAAATCGTGTCGCGGGGATCGCACCCAGCTAGGAGCCGATGCGCCGTCGGGGCCTCTCCGATTGTGTTCCCGACTCCAGTGGCCGCAATCGGCGTGCCCGGCCAACTCTCCCGTCGTCTGTTTTCCTCTGCCCATTGCCCAAGACCATGGCCATCCGAAAGTTGACGACAGCCCCACGAGCGGCCAACTGAGCTCGGCTTAATGTTATCTGCCCCACATCACCTAATTATGTGGGTCATTAGCAACCCTGATCAGGGCGAGCTATTTAGTGCACGTCCCTCTACAGGCGCTGTTGCCGAGTGTCAAGCGATCGATAACTAATCCGTTCATGCTCGCTGCCGAGGCTGGTGTCGAAACCCTTTTGCCTATCGAAGGATCTCCCCGACAGACTTGCAACTATCTGCCGCTGGCTGACCTTTTGTGTTCCTTTTGCTAGACCCTTTCCAGCATGTAACTTGGTACAGTAGCGGCGGAACACCTTCAATTAGGGGGGGGGGGGGCACTGCCAACTTTTGGTCCCATTCTTTCCATGCAACGCCCATAGGGCTAATGTTAAAATGCCAAAATCAAAGAGGGGCACGGTGCTCCGGTGCCCTCCCCGTTCCGCCGCCTATGACTTGGTAATGCAGTTTCTAAGGGTCTTTTTTACGTAACCTTGTGTTGTTGTTATCCCAATATCTCGGGGTCTCGTTGCATTATTTGTTGCCACCAGTTTGAGTCGTTTCCCACTTCTATCATCGCCAGACCTGACCAGGTCCACAACTAAAACCGTCAGCCTTTGTCGCAAACCGGTCCGGTAAGATCTTCATGTCACCCCTCCCCCTCCCTCAGCTCTCCCCTCTCCCACGGTTCCTCCGAGTTGGGCGACTTCTGGTTCTCCGGACAGGCATGGTAGCCGAGGATTATAATTGTTATCGGTGTTTTAATAGTGTCCCGTGCATTAGCGGGTTGTGGTATTCTTACATACGTTATTTTATAACGGGGTAATTTGTGATTCAACGTTTAAGGCGCGATCAGCCATCATGTTCAATGTTCATCATTTGAAGCCTAATTGCATGCTACAGACTACAGAGTGACGATTGAGCCAGGTGTTGTTTCACGACTGAGGAATGGATATCGGCATCAAGCTGTTTCATTCATTGTCTTGTTGGATCGCATCATAAAAGCAGTTAGTTTTGCACTCGTGTATTCTCATCGGGCTCGGAAAGAAGTCGGTAAACACGCCGCGGCACATCGCATCGCCACAGGCGGCATCGCTAGGGGGGCCCGCCCCGTCAACTCACAAAATGAGTGTCTTTTCTCCACGGATTACCACTTATATTGTAATATGATATCTATCTTTATTCACGACCGGTCCCAGCGCCCAGCGCCGAACGGTCCCGCGATCTCTGCAGCATAGACCCATATATTCTCTCTCAGTCCTTCATATTTTCGACGATCCAGTCTTTGTAGTCGGCCACGCGTGTGTACACGTCTGGCACGTTCTGCGTCCCGCACGTGGCCGGACCGAACGACACCACTCCGACCAGCACCCTGGGCTGGCCGGGCACGGCAGCCGCCATCAGAGGGCCGCCGGCGTCCCCTGCGCATGCGCCGCGACCCTTCTGCCCTCCGGCGCACAGCTGGTGCGGACCAATCGCCGTGCGGAAACGCTGGAACGCCTTGGCGCACTTCTGGCTGTCCACCACGGGCACGTGCAGCTCTCGGAGCGCGTCATTGGGTGTGCCGACTGCCGAGAGGAGGGCGATGTCAGGTCAATGACAACTCCAGCTGTGCGTTTGTGGGGGATGGACCGATGGGACTGTAGTGTGCCCAATAGGAATGGTGTACCAGGACTAAGAGACATTTCTGTTAGAGGACTGTGCAATAAGAAGAAACTGCGAAGGAACTAGTAGAAACCGTGCTGCTAACATTACTTATAAACACAGCATGTAATCAACCGACCAGTCGTCGCATCTCAAACCCCGCCTGCCGTCCTGCACCGCCCGAGCCATCACTCACTGGATCCGAAGCCGGCGAGTGTCACCGTCTTCCCGGTGATGTTTCTGCGCACGGACGGGTCGAACGGAAGACAGATGGGCCGCACGAACTCTGCCAACACAGCCGAACGGCTTGTCATCGGTACACCGTCCATCACATCAGACCCAGCCATGCATCATGGCCTGTCGCTGTATCACTGCGTATCAAGAGTCATGTATCATGGGCTGTCCTCGTGTGTCAGACACTGTTGGAGATAAATGCCAATTCATCTTTGCATGGTGCCATTGAATGCTGTGGCTGCTGTAACTCTTTGAATATGTATTTTTCCGATCGGTTACAGGACGCTCTGCTAGCTGCTGCTGTGGTCATTGTTTGAGGGGGATTAGATAATCCTCTGCTCTGCAGAGCCAAGGTAACGCGTGCTCGGCATGCTAAGTGCCATTGCGATAACGGATGTGCCGCAGCCGTGAGACGGTCGCCGCCGGGCGCTGTATTTAATCACGTCACGTCAGATGACAATGACATTAGTCGACACGGGAACAGGTCTCAACTAATGAGAGCTATGCGGAGAATGGGCGGCACAGAGTTATAATATGACAGTGATCCGATTACCATACTGGAGACAATCAAAACACGCCACTTTTGCCGTCCCTGAATGTGTATGATTCCTGACCCACCCCATGGAACTCGTTACTCTTCAAAAACGAAGCTAATACATTACAGACATCTTTATAGGGTGCTTCGCCCTGAGTGCTTCCATCCAACCTTTAATTCAACGAGCCACGGTCGTGAGACCTTGGTAAGCTATAGCTTCGGTACAGTTTCAACCTGATCTCCCTAATTAGGGGACCATGTCCACAGGGTCGTCAGTTCTGTAATCCGTACCCACCTGACCGCTCCACGGGTCTGTCGAGCCGCACCAGGGCGATGTCGTTGTGGTACTGCCGCGGCTTGTGGTGCTCCGGGTGCGGGATCACCTCCTCCACGCCAAAGTCCTGCACCTCGTCAGAGCAGACCTCGCCAGAGGGCGTCTGGGGGGGAGGGGGCGGGGGGTCAAAGCACGCCTCACGGCGGTTTGTGGGGAGGGAGAGGTTAGTCTACCGGACGTCTGTAAGGGAGGGGAGATTACAAATGTCTCTCGCTCTTGGAAGATGGATCTGTTTCATTATTTATAAATGGCTCCCATCGCTCCTGGTAATAGCTTCGCCGGGGGTCTGACGGCTGAGATAAGCCATTTAGTGAGCGGTCCAGCATATTATCTTACTAAATATGTAAATCCTTGGCAATGGCGTTCACACAAATTACGTGTACGAAATAGTGTGCTTTAATGATACGGCAAAAGCAGAGGAAATACCAAACGGCATGGGGTAGCATCGATTCGATGTTAGGATTGCAGCTTGAGATAATGTTCCAATACAATTGATTCATGTTTTCAGGGCTGCTGCATATCATGCATTCGTCCATGTCTGAGCCAAGACGAACAAAGCTGACCTTCAATATAATCACCGTATTGTCTTCTCTCCAAACGGCGAAAGACCTATCCAAGAAGCCAACCTCACGGACATATCCTATTCCCATTCCTCTCCAAAGATTCCACGGGGCCGATTCCTGTTGTTCATGGCTCTCTCGTTGAATTTGACCTTGTGGAAAATAAAATAATCGAGGGAACTTCTCTCACTGTAAAGTAGTCCCTTTCGTAGTGAGCCAGTCTCCCCCTTCTCTCCCTCCCTCCCTCCCTCCCTCTCACCTCCAGACAGTCCCTCTCGGTTGTGATGTTGTGCTCCCCGAGTCTGACTGCCGTCATGGCCAGGTCCTTGGGCAGCCGGCTGACGCAGTGGGCCGCCGTCAGCACGTACCGCTCCGTGATCAGCGTGCCGCCGCAGCTGTACACCACGCGCTTCGACTTCTTCGAGCGTCCTGCAACGTACGGATAAGAGATGGCTAGGCTGACAGGAGGCAGGCTCCCGAGAGTGCGTTGGTCCTTACTCTCATTTTAATGAAAAGCAGAGCCAAAGAGTTTTCGTGGATATTCCAATTTTCGACATTAGCATAGACATTAGCCATGGTCGATTGCACCTCGGTCCTATTTCCATATGACATTCAGTTCACACCTTTATTTGCTCACTTATGTATACAAGCTGTTGAGTTTATTGCTGACATGAGTTTGTTGCTTAGTGTTTATCTGCAGCGAGAGTAGTTAAAACTCTGTTTCAACTCACTGGTATATCCGAGCCTCGCCATCCACGGGTACTCTCCGAGGTGGACGGCCTCCTTGGTCGGCTCCGCGCTGGGGACGTTCACCCCGCACCGGGTGTCGACTGCAGCGGCAGCGGCAGTCTTGGTGACCGGCGGCAGGTAGCCCAGGTCCTTCGGGTCCAGCAGCACCACTGAGGGAGCGGGAGGTATGGGCGGGGCGGGGTGGTTAGCACTTAGCACCGCTCACTGGGGGGACGGCTAGCAACGGTAAGGAGAGGCTTGTATAGCGACCGGACGGCTAGGACCACTTGGGCATTTATATATGTTGCAGGCACTTTAGAAAACCAGTCATTTTGTAAAATGCCTAGGCATTTTGCAAAATGCCTGATTTTCCAGGCTTTTTGCAAAAAGCCTAGGCATTTTACAAAATGACTGACTCTCCAGTCATTTTGCAAAATGCCTAGGCATTTTACAAAATACCTAGCCATTTTACAAAATGACTGAGCAGCGTGTTGTAGATACGAGTACCTAATTATATATACGTTTTGGTAGCGTGTAGGTGGACCGAGGAGTCCAGCATTATGACCAGAGGAGTCCAGCAGTGGGAAGCCCATACCTACCTCTATTTTGAGAAGTGTAGGCCCGCGACATTTCCAACCCCCACGTCAGCGACGCTGCTGGATTTAAAATGATCGATCTGGAGCGTCAACAAACGACTGGCCCTATGCCGGCCTGTATCTGTAAAACTATTAGAGGTCGCGAGGATTCGATCCCACACACTTAGGCGTTAGTGTCTTCTGAAACCAACGCTCTCGTCCTACGCCTTAAGCGACCTGATGATTCTCCCGATGTGGAGCTTGATATTTTAAACTGGGACCATGCAAGTAGGTACTCAAAGCTGTTGCCACAGAACAAAATTAATCGTGTTTTGTTAACCCGGCAGTTGCTGGGGTATTTCGCCACCCACCGTTTGCTGGGGGGGGGGGGGGGGGCGTTAAACGCCCCCAGCCGATAACTCGAGAACCAATAGGCGCAGCGAAACGCACGAGGCGGCAAACGAAAGAACGCGACTAGACGCTTCAGATGAGTACTTTAAAGTTGAATTTTGAGGTCACAGGTCGGGTCAAGATCAGGTCAAACACCTGAAATCGGGCTTTCAGTAGCATGGACTTCAGGACTTCGCAATGGGCGCCTCTCGCCATAAACTCTGTCAAAACGGTGCACAATCCATCTTATAAGGCCTACAAGAGTGTCAGCTCCATGTAGGGGTCAGTCAAGCATAGGTCAGGGTCAAGGTCAGGTCAACCGGGTAGGCACATATCCCCGAAAATCAAAACTGATATTCGCAGCCTGTGACACATGTTTTGTAGGTAATTTGGGGCGTAGAACACGATGGTGACATTCATTTTATCATATGTGTACGTGTTTGGCTCAAAAAGTTCAATTTAAGAAATTCATGTATCGTGGTCGTGAAGTAGTCACGAAAAATTGCCAAGATTCAGTTCAAGATTATGGAAAATGCGGAACGATAATCAATAATCGAAGATAGCCATTTGATTGATCATGGTATTGGCAGTCTAATGGCGTTTGCGGCATGTAAGTATGTCTATTCTGTGATTTTATATGATTTTTTGAACATATGCCGTTTTTGGTCGAAATCTCAGAAATCATGACGTCACTAAAACCTCGATATCTAAAGAATTTTCCGACCGATTTTTTTGAAACTTTGTCACAATAAACTTCAATCAATTCCCTACAGGTACCCAAAATTTGGCGCGCCTGCGGCGGGCCGTTTTTATGCTATGGCCCGGCGAAAAAAGTGGGGGCGTTTAACGCCCCCCCCCCCAGCAACTCGCGGGTTAATCATTGCTTTAATATTCATTGCGATCAGAGAGCGTTTACAGCGTTAACTAAACAATGTTTTATGCTACAGCCGAGTCTGCAACTCAACCTGGTCGTTACTCAGCATTGTCGTCATCACAGAGCTTCAAATCGATCAGCTACAGGCTGAACACGTACCTATAGGGTGTAGGAAGACGTCCAAAAACTGTTGGCCATAGTATCTGTAGTGGGATCAACGTTCCATACTAGTCAGGCATTTTGCAAAATGCCTAGTCATTTTGTAAAATGGCTAGCCATTTTGAAAAAAGCCTGGTTGCGTTCAGTCATTTTTCAAACAGCCGTCTTTTTGTAAAACGCCTAGGCATTTTACAAAATGACTGATTTTCTAAAGTGCCTGCAACATATACATGTAGCTATGTAGTATACCTATGTATACGTTTACGGAAACGGGGCAGTTAGGACCATTGAGGAAGGTTAAATATGAAGACGAGACGGTCAGCAGCTAAGGATGTTAGTCATGGTCGCAAAACTTAAAGTGTCATGTTTTAAATCACCATAATCGGTTTACTGTAATTAAGTCGACGACCTGCGAGCCGTTCCGGATTACGTAAATAGTAGTTACCGGACCACAATTCCATGAAATCGCTGCATCTATGAGGCTGCTGTATGCGGTGTTTGCACCGGCCAATAACGAGTGTAATCCTATTTGTTTCTTCAGTGACTGTGAGTCGTTAGAACACCCGGTAACCGCAGAGCTGCGACCGGGTGCCGAGATAGGGGTCATGGAGCGGAACGGCGGGCTCCCCTTTACCGCAACACGCCGAACTTACTGTGCATTTATATAGACAAGAATTAATTTATCATTCTGATAGTGTCATATTTATAGTGAGAATAAGCTGACAGTGAAAATATATTGCGGTTTTTGTTTCAGGGTGTCACTCATATAAATGTGACATATGTATTATGTAATATAGGTACAAAGGTTTTATTTGATAAGGCTCAGTCGGATTTTGATTATTCGGAACCGTCCCAGCCAGGGTTTTATACTGTTCCGTATATGGCGTTATATCGATCCCTTTTTACTCTCATCATCAGATGTTTTAATTCAGCCGCTCATTGTTCCTCCAATCTCATCTCGATCTCATTGTTCCTTACCCTCGGGCGGTTGTCCCGATACGGCTGGGCAGGCTGTCCAGCAGACACAGCAGGTCAGCAGCAGACGAGACAGCATGGCAGTGCTGAAAATAACAGAACATACACAATACACATCAGACAGTGAAGAGAATAGACAGGTAGGCATAACATATATGTGTCGATATCGCTGCTGAAGCACGGGAGCTCATCACGTCGAACGGTAATCGCCGTTTATTGCCAGCTGTGTTGGTTCGCTCAGCGGGTGCGGCGTTACGGCGGTAATTCTATAGGAGGCAGTCTGACCGGTGACAGGTGAGGACGAGTCGGCAGGGGAGCCTGTCAGAGCCCCCTCCTCACCGCTACAAGGAACTATCTGTCCATCCGGCGCCGTCGGCGGGTAAATTAAACACTAACGGCCTTCCGTGGATCTGCCGGGTGGCGGTGCCCGCGGCGGAACAGCGCGGAGTTAGAACAGAGACGGGGACTCGTCTCCGCGCCGGGCCCCCGTGCCTCTACGGCGGACTGCCCGCCGCTAAATCCGCCGTATAAACGACCCCGTGCCGCGCTGTGGCCTTCGGTACGGAGATGGGGGAAACGTGACTGAATGAGTGAGTGGACAACAGCCGAGTGACAACGCCGGGTGACAGGGGTAGACGGTGCTGGTATGAATGAAATTAATTAGTGGTTTATCATGGGTGGAATTTATATGCCTTGCCTGATGCATGTTGAACCATTAAAGGGACCCTCCCACCTTCAAAAAAGTTAATGAATTGGCAAGAAAATGATGTCGCTCGGTTCAGAAAGAGCGAAAACGAATATCTACCAAATTTCACCGAAAAATATTCACCGGTTTTCAAGATATTAGACTTTTACTTTTGTTTACTTTTTGGGATCTCCGCTGTTCCTAGCGACTTTATTTAAAAGTGCGGCATTTGTTGCGCGCAACGCAGCATATACCACCGCGTGCTACAAAACGTTTTAGTCAAACATTTAAAAAATCGTTAGATATCTGCGCTGACGTCACACATTCAGAGGGGTATTCCTATGCATTAGCCCCTCTGAATCAAAATGCTGCAATTTTGAAATTCAATATTTCCGATTTAACCCTATTCCTGGCGGGGGGGGGGGGCCTCAGGAGCCCCCCCCCTGAGGTTTTTTGGTTATATCTCCCAAACGCGTTGAGCTAGGAAGCTCAAATTTTCTGACTTTTCCTAAAAGGCTTCTACGCAACATGTCTGAAAATTTGGAGTTGATCTGACCTCAGGTCAGGTCACCAGAGGCGGTTTGGTGACGCTACCTCAGAAAAGTTTGCAATCACGCCAGAGCTAGAGTTTTTGACCGATCAATTTCTTCTCTTCAGGGTTTAGTTAGGGTACCAGTATGTGCAATTTGTATATCTCGGAATTTTGATATCGGTGACCTAAGGTCAGGTCAATTTCGCGACCTCCCCATTATAAGTCAATGGGGGAAAAATCAACTCCCTGTTTTTACCACTAAAACGGGTCGGAATGGCCCCATATACCATACATGACTTCATATACGATCAACCTTCACTACCTTGAGGTCTGTTTTGCTGTTGGGCAGCTGTGAGGTCATGTGACGTCATCAAAGGTCACCAAAGGTTTTTGGCCAATAACTCCGTACAGGAACAAGATACAGACGCGTGGATGGTCTCATTGTGTTCAGCTCGTCAAGACGCATCGAATGATATACATGATGACCTCGAGGTCACGTGACCTGAGGTCAACCTTTGACCTTGACCTTTCGAGGTCAACATATATATCATTCGGATTGACGAGAGGATCACGATGATGCCCTTAGTTTGTTCCTATCTTGACTAATTCGAAAGTTATTCGAGAAAAACTCTCTCCATATCTAGTGCCGCCATTTTGACTTTTTCGACCCCTGTGACGTCATCTTTGACCTGACCTGAAAATGACCTTGGTAAAAATTGTAGATCTTGGCCGTGCGTATCCGATGCCGTTTACCGCTTGTCGCTATCTTGCTTCGTTCTCGAGATCTCAGGGGGGGGGCCGAATCGGCCCCCCCCCCCGCCAGTTTCTTGTCCCGGCGGAGCCCGCCAGGAATAGGGTTAAGGCATTTGTCGATGTTGTGAGTGCCGAAACCGGTAATTGTGAGCCAGGGACCCCATTTTGGCTATCTCAACTCAAATCTAATGTTAAGGTGGGAGGGTCCCTTTAACCCTATTCCTGGGGGGAGGGGGGCTCAGGAGCCCCCCCCCCCCCCTGAGGTTTTTTGGTTATATCTCCCAAACGCTATGAGCTAGGAAGCTCAAATTTTCTGACTTTTTCTAAAAGGCTTTTACGCAACATTTCTGAAAATTTTGAGTTGATCTGACCTCAGGTCACGTTACCAGAGGCGGTTTGGTGACCCTACCTCAGAAAAGTTTGCAATTACGCCAGAGCTAGAGTTTTTGACCGATCAATTTCTTCTCTTCAGGCTTTAGTTAGGGTACCAGTATGTGCAATTTGTATATCTCAGAATTTTCATATCTGTGACCTGAGGTCAGGCCAGACTCGTGACCTTTACATTGCAAGCCTATGGGAAAATATTGAAACGCCTCCTGCTTCGTGTAAACGAGTCAAAACCACCCAGTTCTTTCAGTATTATGGAAGATTATCTCATCGGTGATGATCCTGGTGCCGCTAATTGACAGGGGCACCGGCAAAGGTCATCTGAGGTCATGTGACGTCATAAATCGTTTTTCTGTCAATAAATCACGACATTATGGTGCTAAAGACTTGTAAGTGGTACCAAACTGCTCGCCTGGTCAAGGCGCGTCGTTTGGTATGCAGCATGACCATACCCCACAACCTCATTGATGAATGACCTGACCTTGACCTCAGGTCAAATTTTAAATTGACCTGTGAAGGTCATCACATACTTATTTCGCATCGCCTCGGCGAGAGCAACAAAAAATGTATTGGTTTTATGTCTCTATGTTTCTTAGTTTAAAAGTTATATAGGTAACTAATTCCAAAACATTTTATCGTTGATGACCTCTGGACTCTGGTGACCTCAATATTGACCTGACCTGAAAATGTTTGATGTAAAAGTTGTAGATTTTTAAACGACCTATCAAACGCCGTTCGCCGTTTGTCGCTGCGATGTGTAGTTTTTGAGATCTGAAAGGGGGGGCCGAATCGGCCCCCCCGCCAGTTTCTTGTCCCGGCGGAGCCCGCCAGGAATAGGGTTAATGAGTCACACCGGCGATTTTGAAAGATCCTCTCATTTCGACGCTTCTATTTCTTTTGTTGTTTACAAGCTACAGCATTGATATTTTGAAACAATATTGGTCATTGACCGATTGACTCATATTGGAACTGATTGACTCTATAATCAAACTGTAGTGGATGGCTTAACATTCCCTTAAGTCCTTCCTTTTGTCCCGTCCAAATAGTCTCCGAACTCTCGGTCCGCACCGTCCATGACGTAGGTATGTACAGTCTGTCCGTTCTGTCCCATTCTCTTCCATTACTCGCGCACTCGGCACGTCTCGCCCGTATAGTCCTTTTGTCCGTCTTTGCCGAATAGTTTCCCCGTCCGTCCTTCTATCCGCTTGGGCGACGCGTTTGTCTACCCATCTGTCAGAACAATGGATTGGTTTCGTCCGAAAATAGTCTTTCAGATATCTCAACAATTCAAACGAAATTTATTTAAATACAGCAAATAACTTAATGAAAAAATATTTGTTCGCTGTACCGATAACCTTATAACACAAATATGCCTCTACATAATCAGTAAAGCTCTCCTGTTTGTTGTAACGTTTTAGTGGCACGAGTGGGCCACCCCCGAGTTATACCCGTGACTCGTGAGCGCCGTGTTTGACAACAGGTCAGCTCTGAGGGTGAGATCAGGATCAGACAGTGACTACCGTATGTACGCTGCTGCAACTCCGATAACAAGCAGAAGCCATGGCTGTCCGAAGTACCGTGCATATACGGTACTCCAGTATGCTGGACTGACTGTGCTGAAGTGTCCCATGGACTGACCGCTGGAGCGTCCCGAGAACTTACTGCTGGAGTGTCCTGACAGGTCCGCCGCTGGAGTGTTCCCTCTGTGCAGGAGCCGGCTCCGACCCCGTGCCGCCTCTCGTGGTGAACGCCGCGGCTCACTCGGTGTCGTCGGCTGCGCTCCTGCCTCTGCGGCGTCCCCAGACCGAGTGACCAGGGAGAGGAGTCGCCCAGAGGACCAGCCCCCTGCCCCCTCCCCTCCCACCCAACCAGCTGTCCGGCCAGCTCCGCGGCGCCGAACCGCGGCCTCGTCAGACTGAACCAATCGGCCGCCGTACCGGCACACGGTAGGTACCAAAATAAAAATACGGACCGGGGCCGAGCCGGCGATCGAGATGCGATCTTCCAACGCTCGTAATGGTGTTAGTGAAGTTTTTTTAAGTAATGAGTTTCAATAACTCCCGAGCAAAGTAAGCCTGCGAGAATGCCGTCATAATGTTTGGAAAGATTTGTCGAATCGAATGGTATACAATATCCTCGTCCTACTTCGTGATCTGAACGGCTTTGAGTTTTAACCTAACCATCCTAATTTGACAGTTCTCTCCTCACTCGACGCGCCCAAGCGCGATCAATTAAATGGTGAAAAAAATGTTGGCTCTGCGAGCATTCTTAGCGAAGTTATTTACCAAAACCGGACTCGTTCGCTGTGGTATTTGACCGGGGTGGTCACCAGCTGGCTGAAGATTTTAAAATTACCTAAGCATCAGACGCTGCGCCTCGTAATGGCACGGTCGCTCGTTTTTCTGCGAAGCTCTAGATCAAATAGGGCGGATTTAGCTAGGGCTGCTGGGTCGATGGATTTTCGGTGACTCCGACTCCGACTCGGACTCCGGGCAAATGCTGTGGACTCCGACCGAGTCCGACTCAGAATTCGCATTGGCGAGGGGACAACCTCTTTGGCCTAGAAGACCGAAGGTCCGGTGATGGCTGATAAAGTAGCCGAGACCGCCCGGACGGAACGGATGTGTCCCAATGGTGGGTCTCCCTGCCAATCGTAATTCGTAGCTACCGGTCAAACGTTCAGCCCGGAGAGGGTGTGGTGTGTAGGTACCCCTTATGGAAATGACCTCTCCGTCCGTTTCTGGGGTGTAGATGTCTTAAAGGGGGCCTTCACCTTGGTGTAGATGAGTATGACCTCTGATCTATATGGTCATCTCGGACACACATTTTGAGGAAGGACGCTAATAGGCAGGGGTGGAGATCTGTCAAAATGTCAGGGGGGTCCAGCCCGCCAGGCTGGGCAGATGGAGGCGGGCTGGATGCAGTACCATTGACTTACATAGCAGTAATTCGTTTTCAGGGGGGTCCTGACCCCCCCCCCCAACCCAGCAGGTTACTAGGATTTTTTTTTGTATAAATTTAGTCCGAACCTTTTGATAGGAAGGATTCACAAGGACAGAGCCACCGCTAAGCGAAGCTTGCTGCGGTGACCCTGCCCTCTACCCTCCGATCGCGCAATTCCAGTTCTATGGCAGAATTTAGAGTCCAAAGTTTAACGTGCGCACATAGCCGCGCACGGCCGGTCCCCTCACTGACTTCGCCTGGCCACGGTCTGCCACCAACCGCAACCATACCTGTCAGGAGGCCCATAAATGTCAAGCGCCCGTCGCGCTTCGAACCCGGACTTAGACTGTTATAACCGGGAACGCGTGCTCTCACCACGCGGAGTCCAACGCTCTACCAACTGAGCTACGGGACCGGCGTAGGATTGTAAGACGAAATAGAAAATATTCATGGATTCTGTCTGCAAAAAAAAAAACAAGCCTAGCACGGTTATAGCATGGATATCGAAAATATTCAATGCATGATGAATGTTTATAGGGAAAATATCGGAAAAGTCTTCAGAAGTTTCCTGTGTTTCGCTGAAACGACAAAATTTGATGTGCAGTTGAAAAAAAAGTTGTAGGGGCTAGCGTGTTCTGTTCGCCAGCTAAAAGTTATCTACTGCTAGCGCAAGGAAATGCGCATTTTGATTGGAGGATTCATGAAAGTCGTACAACAGGTTGTCCTCAGTTCTGAAAACACCCTGCTTGAATAGAACATGATGTTGAGTTATTGGCGTCTGTCCGACGTGCATCAAGTGCTATGATATTCAGATTCACTTTCAAATGCACATTCAAAAAAACTCACCAAATGCGAAGTTTTGGCTACCATCGTGTAGCCAGGAAAGCCCTGATTCTGAAAATATATATCCCAATACATGACACTCAATAGTTTACGAGATATACCTGTTTTCCTTTTGAAGGTCATTCAAGGTCATATAGTGGCAGGTCATCAAAAAAACTCACCAATATACACCAAAATTACAGGATATATAGTCCAAAGCAGCCTCCATCGAATGGTGGTAGACACTATTCATGACACTTCTGCGTTTTTGGTACAGGGGCCATTTTTATTTTCAAATGCCTATCTCGCTAATGTTAACACTGCCTGACTTAAAGGCCAATAACTCCCAAAGTACATCACCGTTCTCTTTCATCTTTTAGTCACACGTTTGCAAGGCCCTGGGGCAGTTTTTGGTCAAGTGCCTACCCATGACGCCCTCTCAAATCGTTTGTACGCGGGTTTGAAAATTTGATATTTTTGGTCATACGGCCAAAGTCAACAAAAAAGAACTCACCAATATGCACAAAAATTACAGGATATACAGTCCAAAGTGACCTCCATCGAATGGTGGTAGTCTCTATTCATGACACTTCTGCGTTTTTGGTACAGCGGCCACATTGATATTCAAATGCCTATCTCGCTAATGTTAACACTGCCTGACTTAAAGGCCAATAACTCCCAAAGTACAGCACCGTTCTCTTTCATCTTTTGATGACACGTTTGCAAGGCCCTAAGGCAGTTTTTGGCTAAGTGCCTACCCATGACGCCTTCTCAAATCGTTTGTACGCGGGTTTGAAAATTTGATTTTTTTGGTCATACGACCAAAGTCAACAAAAAAGAACTCACCAATATGCACAAAAATTACGGCATATATAGTCCAAAGTAACCTCCATCGAATGGTGGTAATCGCTATTCATGACACTTCTGCGTTTTTGGTACAGCGGCCACATTGATATTCAAATGCCTATCTCGCTTATGTTAACACTGACTGACTTGGATGAGTATAACTCCAAAAGTACATCTCCGAGCTCGTTAAACTTTTAGTGGCACGTTTGCAAGGCCCTGGGGCAGTTTTTGGTCAAGTGCCTACCCATGACACCTTCTCAATACTTTTGTACGCGGGTTTGAAAATTTGATATCTTTGGTGATACGGCCAAAGTCAACAAAAAAGAACTCACCAATATGCACAAAAATTAAGGCATATATAGTCCAAAGTGACCTCCATCGAATGGTGGTAGTCGCTATTCATGACACTTCTGCGTTTTTGGTACAGCGGCCACATTGATATTCAAATGCCTATCTCGCTAATGTTAACCCGCGCCCTGATGGGGGGGGGGCATTTTGGCCCCCCCCCTGTGGTTTTTCTTTAATAGCGAGAAAACGGCGGCGCGCAGCGCCGCCAAATTTTGGGTACCTTACCGGGCATCAATTTGACACCTTCACACAAAATTTCAAGTCACAGGTCACCTCAGGTCAGGAGTTATTGAGGTCAAACTGAGGTCATGTTCGAGTAAAAATGAGCAAAAAACATGACATCTTGAAACGCTCACCAATTCTACAGTTAACAAGCAATTTTAAAGTTCTTTATGTGGTTGTGTAGAGAAAAGACGGCGCTACAAAACTGCTATCTCGGATTTTCGAAATTTTGGGATTTTGACCCCAAAAAATCCAAAAAAATTGATTTTTTTAGAAAAACTCAAAAAATTTCCGAAAATTTTTCGAATTTCGAAAAAACCGGAATATATGTGATAGTCCCTGCGCTCTTCGATATACATACCAAATTTTAGATCGATACCTCTTTTTTTTTGGCCAAGTTATAGCGAAAAAACTGTTAAAAATTGATGACGTCAAATTTTTGAACTCAATTTTTGGCAATTCTAGAGCTCGTAGCGCAAAACGGAGGCCACCATTGAACTCTCCGTGACGAGCTGCATCGAATCGATACCCATTTTATGCAAAAATATCAACTTTGAAATTTGACCTAATTTGACCTGACCTTGACCTGACCTTGACCTGACCTTGACCAAAACGTGACCTAAGCTGGCCCTAAAGTCTGTCTGACCCACATAATCGCATTTGTCATGTAAAATGGACCATAAAACATGTATCACACGACACTTTCATATTGTGACCCCCCAGTGACCTGACCTCTGTGACCTGACCTGGTATCAGTGACCTCAAATAGCAAAATATGTGTTTGAAGAACATTTCCCCATCGATTATTTTCAATGAAATGCATTTTACACGATTCTACAACGCATTTCTTGAAATGCCTGTAAACGGTGAAAATTCGACCTTTGACCTGACCTGTGACGTCATCGGTTTGACCGAGGTCAATGAAATTGGGTCACAAGGTAGTTCCCCGTTGGGGCTATCCAACACCGTTTACCGCTTGTCGCTATGTTGCGTGGTTCTCGAGATCTGAGGGGGGGGCCAAAATGGCCCCCCCCCCCCATCAGACCACGTTGCTCGGCAGACCCCATCTGGGCGCGGGTTAACGCTGACTGACTTGGATGGGTATAACTCCAAAAGTACATCTTCGATCTGGTTAAACATTTAGTGGCACGTTAGCAAGGCCCTGGGACAGTTTTTGGTCAAGTGCCTACCCATGACGCCTTCTCAAAACTTTTGTACGCGGGTTTGAAAATTTGATTTTTTTTTTTTGGTGATACGACCAAAGTCAACAAAAAAGAACTCACCAATATGCACAAAAATTACGGCATATATAGTCCAAAGTGGCCTCCATCGAATGGTGGTAGTCGCTATTCATGACACTTCTGCGTTTTTGGTACAGCGGCCACATTGATATTCAAATGCCTATCTCGCTAATATTAACGCTGACTGACTTGGATGGGTATAACTCCAAAAGTACATCTCCGATCTTGTTAAACTTTTAGTAGCACGTTAGCAAGGCCCTGTGACAGTTTTTGGTCAAGTGCCTACCCACGACGCCTTCCCAATACTTTTTTACACGGGTTTGAAAATTTGATATCTTTGGTGATACGGCCAAAGTCAACAAAAAAGAACTCACCAATATGCACAAAAATTAGGGCATATATAGTCAAAAGTGACCTCCATCGAATGGTGGTAGTCGCTATTCATGACACTTTTGCGTTTTTGGTACAGCGGCCACATTGATATTCAAATGGTTATCTCGCTAATGTTAATACTGACTGACTTGGATGGGTATAACTCCAAAAGTACATCTCCGATCTTGTTAAACTTTAAGTGGCACGTTAGCAAGGCCCTGCGGCAGTTTTTGGTCAAGTGCCTACCCATGACGCCTTCTCAAAACTTTTTTTACGCGGGTTTGAAAATTTGATATCTTTGGTGATACGGCCAAAGTCAACAAAAAAGAACTCACCAATATGCACAAAAATTAAGGCATATATAGTCCAAAGTGACCTCCATCGAATGGTGGTAGTCGCTATTCATGACACTTCTGCGTTTTTGATACAGCGGCCACATTGATATTCAAATGCCTATCTCGCTAATGTTAACACTGCCTGACTTAAAGGCCAATAACTCCCAACATACATCACCGTTCTCTTTCATCTTCTGGTGACACGTTTGCAAGGCCCTAAGGCAGTTTTTGGTGTAGTGTTTACCCATGACGCCTTCTCAAATCATTTGTACGCGGGTTTGAAAATTTGATATCTTTGGTGATACGGCCAAAGTCAACAAAAAAGAACTCACCAATATGCACAAAAATTAAGGCATATATAGTCCAAAGTGACCTCCATCGAATGGTGGTAGTCGCTATTCATGACACTTCTGCGTTTTTGATACAGCGGCCACATTGATATTCAAATGCCTATCTCGCTAATGTTAACACTGCCTCACTTAAAGGCCAATAACTCCCAACATACATCACCGTTCTCTTTCATCTTCTGGTGACACGTTTGCAAGGCCCTAAGGCAGTTTTTGGTGTAGTGTTTACCCATGACGCCTTCTCAAATCATTTGTACGCGGGTTTGAAAATTTGATATCTTTGGTGACACGGCCAAAGTCAACAAAAAAGAACTCACCAATATGCACAAAAATTACGGCATATATAGTGCAAAGTGACGTCCATCGAATGGTGGTAGTCGCTATTCATGACACTTCTGCGTTTTTGGTACAGCGGCCACATTGATATTCAAATGCTTATCTCGCTAATGTTAACATTGCCTGACTTAAAGGCCAATAACTCCCAAAGTGCATCTCTGTTCTCTTTGATCTTTTAGTGACACGTTTGCAAGGCCCTGGGGCAGTTTTTGGTAAAGTGCTTACCCATGACGCCTTCCCAATACTTTTGTACGCGGGTATCAAAATTTGATTTTTTTGGTGATACGGCCAAAGTCAAGCAAGCTCGTTAAAGATTTGGGCTACGTACAAATTGAGAAGGCGTCATGGGTAGGCACTTTACCAAAAACTCCCCCAGGGCCTTGCTAACGTGCCACTGAAAGTTTAACAAGATCGGAAATGTACTTTTGGAGTCATACCCATCCAAGTCAGTCAGTGTTAACATTAGCGAGATAGGCATTTGAATATCAATGTGGCCGCTGTACCAAAAACGCAGAAGTGTCTTGAATAGGGACTACCACCATTCGATGGAGGTCACTTTGGACTATATATGCCTTAATTTTTGTGCATATTGATGAGTTCTTTTTGTTGACTTTGGCCGCATCACAAAAAAAAATCAAATTTTCAAACCCGCGTACAAAAGTTTTGAGAAAGCGTCATGGGTAGGCACTTAACCAAAAACTGCCCCAGGACCTTGCTAACGTACCACTAAAAGTTTAACAAGATCGGAGATGTACTTTTGGAGTTATACCCATCCAAGTCAGTCAGCGTTAACATTAGCGAGATAGGCATTTGAATATCAATGTGGCCGCTGTACCAAAAACGCAGAAGTGTCATGAATAGAGACTACCACCATTCGATGGAGGTTACTTTGGACTATATATCCTGTAATTTTTGTGCATATTGGTGAGTTCTTTTTTGTTGACTTTGGCCGTATGACCAAAAATATCAAATTTTCAAACCCGCGTACAAATGATTTGAGAAGGCGTCATGGGTAAACACTAAACCAAAAACTGCCTTATGGCCTTGCAAACGTGTCACCAGAAGATGAAAGAGAATGGTGATGTATGTTGGGAGTTATTGGCCTTTAAAGGGACCCTCCCACCTTCAAAAAAGTTAATGAATTGGCATGAAAGTGATGTCGCTCGGTTCAGAAAGAGCAAAAACGAATATCTACCAAATTTCATCGAAAAAATATTCACCGGTTTTCAAGATATTAGACTTTTCCTTTTGTTTACTTTTTGGGATCTCCGCTGTTCCTAGCGACTTTATATGAAAGTGCGGCATTTGTTGCGCGCAAAGCAGCATATACCACCGCGTGCTACAAAACGTTTTAGTCAAATTAATGACGGACGTTCGAAAGCCTGATGACGTCATCAGACTCCCGTAATGGTTAAGAGATAGGGACCACGCTGGTCCCACCCTGCAAGTAAAGGGAAGAAATTTCTTGAACACCATAAAGCTGCGGGCGTTGCGACCAGGATGAATGGTGGTTTCTGAGCCTGGCCGCAAACTTGGCTATCTCAACTCAAAACTAATGTTAAGGTGGGAGGGTCCCTTTAAGTCAGGCAGTGTTAACATAAGCGAGATAGGCATTTGAATATCAATGTGGCCGCTGTACCAAAAACGCAGAAGTGTCATGAATAGAGACTACCGCCATTTGATGGAGGTCACTTTGGACTATATATCCTGTAATTTTTGTGCATATTGGTGAGTTCTTTTTTGTTGACTTTGGCCGTATGACCAAAAATATCAAATTTTCAAACCTGCGTACAAGCGATTTGAGAAGGCGTCATGGGTAGTCACTTCACCAAAAACTGCCCCAGGGCCTTGCAAACGTGTGACCAAAAGATGAAAGAGAACGGTGATGTACTTTGGGAGTTATTGGCCTTTAAGTCAGGCAGTGTTAACATTAGCGAGATAGGCATTTGAAAATAAAAATGGCCCCTGTACCAAAAACGCAGAAGTGTCATGAATAGTGACTACCACCATTCGATGGAGGCTGCTTTGGACTATATATCCTGTAATTTTGGTGTATATTGGTGAGTTTTTTTGATGACCTGCCACTATATGACCTTGAATGACCTTCAAAAGGAAAACAGGTATATCTCGTAAACTATTGAGTGTCATGTATTAAGATATATATTTTCAGAATCAGGGCCTTCCTGGCTACACGATGGTAGCCAAAACTTTGCATTTGGTGAGTTTTTTTGAATGTGCATTTGAAAGTGAATCTGAATATCATAGCACTTGATGCACGTGTCTGTCCGTTGGGTATGGGACGGGTGAATTGATTTTAGTTGAATTAATGGGCCTGTTCCAGCGCCTCCAGAAACCTCCAGAAAGCTCCAGAAAGCTCTAGAATTCTCCAGAGAGCGTTCCAGCGCCTCCAGAAAGCTCCAGAAAGCTCTCGCCAAAGCTCCAGAAACCTCCAGTAGCCTCCAGAGAGTTGAGAGGTCCAAATTTCTCTGGAGGCTCTGGTCTACAATTATGGCGCACATGTGACAATCACGAATGTAAACAAAGGACATTTGACTGATAATTTTACAACTTGAATGTAAAGAAAATTACATTGCTATAATTTTATTTATCTTTTTAACTAAAATTGAAAACAAATTTTGCGTTTCAAGAGAGAACAATCGTCATTCTTTTGGTATCTATGACACCAATCTCCAGAAATCTCCAGATTGCGTTCCAGCGCCTCCAGTAAAACCTCTGGTAGAGCCTCCAGTCAAGAATTTATTCTGGAGGCGCTGGAACAGGCCCAATTTGTGATTGTTTCTGATTGTGAGTACAAACAGGCATTTACATTCTCTCGTAACCTTACCATTCACAAACTTCCTCCTTCCCTCCCTTCACAAACATCAATTTACCGGTAAGTTTCACTGTCATTTATGTGTCTTAACGTAAATTCATGGGTTTTTTCCCATATTCATGGCATAGTACATGGATATGGGTTTTCCCATGTTGTCTTGCTGTAAAAGTGGCCACCGGTCTTAGTTAGGACGGCCGGTTTGTTTTGCGCGGCGTAGTTAGGTCGCCGCCCTCCTCGCGAGGCCGGTAACGTAAGTTAGGGCCACTAAAAAAAAAAAAAAAAAAAAAAACATTTTTTGCTGTATGATATGACTTTTCATTACTCCGTTTCCGTTTTCAATTTGAAATGGCTGCTAAGTGCTAGGCAAGGCTATAACCGTGCTAGGCTTGTTTTTTGTTGCAGACAGAATCCATGAATATTTTCTATTTCGTCTTACAATCCTAGTAACCTGCTGGTTATATGCGTAAGCCGTAAATGGGATGACATTCTATTCCTTTCTATGACCATTCCTTTTTGTAATATGCATGCTTTTTATGAGTTTTCTACTGCATTTCAATTTCCTTATTACCTGTTAACTTGTGGCACTGATTGCAATGGCAGACGTGCATGTATCCCACACAACGACCATCCCAGACGACCAAACACGAAAATCAAGATGACCACGGGACTAGTGGCCTTAAAGCATGAAATTATCTTGGAAAACATTGTTTGTAAAAGCCTTCAAATGACCTACCATTCTTGCATTTCTTCAGAGTGGACAGTTCTGAGAAATTCCTTGAGAGTCAAGATCTATCACAGATCCATGATCCGGATCAGCCTCCATAATTGTTGATGAAATTAAATAAGCTTTAAGTTTTGGTGTTTAAAAATGCTCCAGAAAGTAGAACAGGAATCATGCAATCAATGCAGGAATTATTGCAGTCATGCACTAGCCATGAGAACCTTTTATAGGTACTTCATACTGCCAGTAACTATGACATATTTGGATACAGCAAGTGTAGAGGGTGGAATCTGAAAACAGGGTGCATGGGGCGATTTGATCAAGGATTTTGAAATTCGTTTGACCTAGTCACATGACAATTAGCCTGCTAAAGGCATCCAGAGGAATATCCCAATGTTCACGTGACAAAATGTGCCCTGTTTTCAGATTCTACTGTGTAGAGGCATGGATGGCAGATACAGATGCTTTCTTATGAAGTATGTAATTTTGATGGGCCTTCACATACAGAAGTTAGGGAATCTATGTGCTTAAAAACTCCAATCAGACTTGTGCATGGATCCGAGAAAATGGATCTGGGATCTGATCCCACGGATCTTGATCTCGGATCCGACGGGATCATAGATCCAGCTCTGTAATTTATCGAGAGATCCGTAGGGATCACAGATCCGAGTCTCATTTTTTGCTTGAGATCCAGTGAGATCATAGATCCTCACTTATTTTTTGTCAACACATATATCCCAAAAAGCACTTGTTTCAACTCACAAACGTTCTGTTTTGATGATTTTATGTGATCGCACGTCATAATCCATAGTTTTGTGTCACTTATTGGCATAGAAACCCTTTAAAAAATGATTTCAAATGTGGTGCATGGTGGGATCCACTCAGATCGTAGATCCATGTTCGTAATTTATCGTCAGATCATATGAGATCATAGATCCAAGATGTATTTTTCACGCCGGATCCGGTGGGATCATAGATCCCAACCTGTACTTTGCTTCGAGATCCACTGGGATCATAGATCCATCACTCGGAACCATGCACATGTCTGACTCCAATGATGCAGGCAGCATTGTGGGATAGACTTATGGCATTGGCATTGTTCATTTTTCTTATATATCATACATACAAGTCAACATATTATGCATCATGCATCTTAACCCGGCACCGCCTGGGCTATTTCCGTACCCACGACAGCCTGGGGGGGGGGGTCGGATCCGACCCCCCCCTGTTATCTCGAGAACCAATGGTCGTATCGAGCCCCGCGAGGCGGCGTTCGAAAGGTCTCTACGAGACCTTCCCAAAGCACTCTTAAGATTTTAAGATTGAGGTCAACTTTCGGGTCAAGGTCAGGTCAAAGGTCAAATTCAGGGGTTTTGCATGAATCGGCTTACGGACAGCGGAATCGATAGCTGCTGCTCGAAACTCACCAAAAATGACCTCAAAGGCCTAGTGAAGGTGCCATGTGCGTATAGGGGTCATACTAGGTACAGGTCAAGGTCAGGTCAGGTCACGAAAGGTCACGGTTTTCACTTTCTGCTACATGGGCGTGCGACACATGTTTTATGGCTTATTTTTCACGCCGAATCCGATGGTAATGGTTATATGTGACCCCAAGTCACTGTGCTGGTGATAAATGTGCATTGAAAGCATAAAAAATCGTTTATACTATACATAACTAAACGAGGGCTAAGAAAAAAAGGTCAATTTTTCAACTTTTTATTTTTGACATAAAAATGCACTTTTCTAGACGCGCTTTGTCCCAGGAATCTAGTGGTGCCATTTGTTTTTACATGCGATGTTCAGAAGTGCCTCTAATTCACGAAAATGCCTATGACGTCACCATGCCCTATGCATGTTGGAGCTATTTTTTACAATTTGGGGGTCAAAAATCAAGATAGAAAGTTGAAATTTGGGGCATCTAATGTTCTAATAGAGCTCTACAACATATATTCCGGTTTTTTGGAAATTCCCAAAATTTTGGATTTTATTAGCTGTTTTCCAAAAAATATAGTTTTTTGAATTTTTAGGGGTGAAAAACGCATTTTATGGAAAATCCGAGATAGCCATTTTAAAGAACTCGTTGAGCTGCGTCTTTTGATGTCCTTAATTTGCAAATTGCTTCAAACCCTGATTTTTGGCGATTTTTTAAACATTTACCGCTTTTTGACTAAAAACGCCATGTAGTTACGTCACTAAAATCGATATATCTCAAAAAATTTTGGAAATTTTTTCTTCAAAATTGCACAGGAGACGTCAAATTGATGGGGGAGAAGGTATGCCAAGTTTCAAGTAGATAGCGAAAGTGGTTCATGAGTTATTCAAGAAAAACGGAGGGGGGTCGGATCCGACCCCCCCCCAGGCGGTCGCGGGTTAAACATGCATCTCTCCTAGGCATATACATGGTCTGCGTGGGAATGCCTTTACTCATCTATAATGCCCATCACTTTTCCTTATTTCCCATTGCCTTGTAGGGCCTCCCTCTGGAGACTCATGCTGCCCATGCATACTTGATCTTATGCTTGCCTGTGTCTGAGAATGGTGTTTAACTCTTTCCAGCATTTTTTTTTTTTTTTTGTTGTTGTTGCCATCCTATCCCATCCAGATATGTTGGGTGTGGTCATCAAGCACTCCAGCAGTCCAGTTTCACTGGCATTCAATTAAGAGGGCTCTTGAGAATATCAGCTTGCATGCCAAGTTTCTTGGAATGCACCAGTGGGATGTTATTTTGGGTCATGTGTCTGATGTCCCCCTGTATTATTTTTGTTATTGTTGGGGCACAGCTAATGGATGCAGCATTTCATAGAAACTGGTCAATGAATTAGGTTACATGAATTTCGTGTTAAACTGAGCCTGCCTCTGGGACTGCGCGTGCGTTTGGAGTCTGCGTTTGGTTTTTTCGCGGGGAATTTCCACGCTGAGGAATTCCGCACGAAAACCCGAGGGATGTTCACGGGCCCTGTGTGCGGTCGGACCGCACACAGCCTCGAAGCTCCGCCCACTTCGTCCCTACGTCAGCCTTCCGTCACCGCACACAGCGATCGCTGTGGCCGGTCGGGACCGGCCACAGCGGACCGTCCACCGCACGCAGCCGTGACGTCAGAACCGCCTACCCATCCCCTACCCCCACGCCTGCTGGACGCACCGCACACACCGCACGCAGCAGTGTGCGGTGCCCGTGAACACCCCTCCGTTTGGGCATCGCGAAGCACGAGGAATCCCGCGGGATCCCACGAAACGGGCTTGCCCGAACGGCCGTTTTTGTGAGAAAATTTTCGGCGGGGATATTCCACGGGAAAAAAGGCACGTCTGAACGTGCGGCGAGACTGTACGAACCCAGCTACTGGAGGTGACCGGTTGTGATTGTTGTCGTTCTCAGCTGGTGAGGCGGCGCGCCGATGAGTGACCAGCACCAGGGCCTGGTGGCGCCGGCGGCGGCGGCCGGCCGCGGCGCCAGCGAGGTGAACCACGTCAGCCAGCTGTCGCAGGACCTGGCGCACCTGTGCCGCTCGGAGGAGTTCTGCGATGTGGTGCTCTCCGTGGAGGGGCACCGGTTCAGCGCGCACCGCGCCGTGCTGGCCGCGCGCAGCGAGTACTTCCGGGCGCTGCTGTTCGGCGGAATGAAGGAGTCGCGGGAGAAGGAGGTGACGCTGACGGGCGCCGCCGTCGGACCGTTCCGGGTGCTCCTCCAGTACATCTACACCGGACAAATGTCACTAGTCGGACTCAAGGTACAGCGTGGAGCGTGGCAGGAGGGGGCCGTGATGGTCATACCTCAAGCACAGAGAGAAATGTGACAAAAATGTGATTCGGTACGAGACTTGATATATATCAACTCCCATTCATCCATTCATTCGTCCATGCATTCGTTCATTCATTCATTCATTCATTCATTCATTCATTCATTCATTCATTCATTCATTGAACGTTTCTTGCACGATTCATTATTCTATTATGCCTATTGTCAGCATAGTTCAATAAAAAAGTCCTGCTTTATTCTGGACTGAATAGAGGCTAAAGCCAATGACCTGCCTGTTCTAATGGTGATGGTCAGGTGGTGACACCACTGTATCAGCCTGTCTGTCTGACCTGACTCGCCCCGCCCCGCCCCGCCCCGCCAGGAGGACACGGTGCTGGACATGCTGGGCCTGGCGCACCAGTACGGCTTCACTCAGCTGGAGGAGGCCGTCTCGCAGTATCTGGAGGCGGCCGTGCGGGCCGGTAACGTGTGCGTCATCTACGACATGGCCCGGCTGTACCGGCAGTCGGCCCTGCTCGACGTCTGCCAGAGCTTCATGGACAAGAACGCCGCTGCCGTGCTGCAGCACCCCAGCTTCTGCACAATGTCAGACGTGAGTGGAGCCCACTCGTGGGTGTTGAGGCTGACTTTGTGTGGGTATGCTATTCTTGAGATTATTCATAAAGTGAAATGTAAAAGATAATCGGCCAAGGATGAAGTTTAACACCAGTTTCAATATTATGGTTCATTGTAATAGTTGGGTTACTTGTCTGAGCATGCTGATCCACCTAAATCGTTAGAGGCGGCCGAAAACCGGTACATACATACGTGTAGTAACACTAGAAATCTTTAAGCGTTCCACTGGTCAGAAGTGGTGAAGCGATAACGCCCGTTTGTCTGACTGTGCCTGCCCCCTCCGCCGTCGACAGCAAGGCGTCCGGGAGGTGATCTCTCGCGACTCGTTCTGCGCCGCCGAGGTGGACATTTTCCGTGCGGTGAGCCGGTGGACGGCCGCCAACCCGGAGCTGGACTCGGCGCAGCTGCTGGCGGCCGTCCGGCTGCCGCTCGTCAGCATGCAGGTCAGTGACCGGTGGTAGAGGGCAGGTCAGTATCTGTTCAGTATTTGGCGGCGTGGCAGGACGTCAGTCTCGGGTGGAAGGGGACAGGTTAGTAATATAAACGCGATAGTGACGTTATATGTGACAGCGTGACGTTATGTGTTATATGACACGTTATAGTGACGTGACGACGGCGACTTTAGGCTGCTTAGGGGTGGTTTGCGGAGAGATGCTGGGGAAGGGGTGCTTTTTTGATGAGTATAATAATGGTATTTGTGCGTATTTGACAGTCGTATCCGTTCGTAACTTACGCATCTGTTCGATTTGTTTGTATCCGTATTTTTTAGTAACAGCGCCACTAACTGAACCTGTCTCTCCCCCAGGCAGGTTCAGTTAATACGAGAGAGATAAGCTAGAGACAGGCCCTCTTCAATAGGTCACTCTCCCCCAGTGCCTATTGAACCCCACTAACCCCACCACCAGTACCTGCCCCTGCTGCCCCTCTGATCCCCCCCCCCGCGGCAGGACCTGGTGAACGTGGTGCGTCCCTCGGGCGTCATCAGTCCGGACGCCATCCTGGACGCCATTAAGACCAAGGTGGAGAGCCGGGACCGGGACCTGCCGTACCGCGGCTGTCTGCTGCCGGACGAGAACGTGTGCACGCCGCGCCACGGCGCGCAGACGGTCCGCGGTGACATGCGCTCCTTCCTACTGAACGGAGACACCAGTGCGTTCGACATGGAGCGCGGATTCACCCGGCACGCCATCGACGACGCCTGTGAGTGGACGCGAGGGGAGGGGAAGGGATGAGGGTGGCAGCTGGGATGGCTTGACAGCTGTATTGTCGTTGGATGAATAGGGCGTATTTTCGGACCTAGGAATTGACATTCTATCAAGGTGAAGAACGAATTTGTTTCAATCCACCGGCTTCCATACGGCTATGCTTCCACAGCCATCAGTTGTTATATTTAAGCTTTTTTTTACGTTAACTGCTTGTGGATACGGATAGTCGTTTGGCACATAGTAAATTGTGCCAGAAATTTAACTTTAACCTCTAAATATATCACTTACATGTGATGTAATATTTGAGTTGTCTTCTAGGCTCTGACAACTGTATCGAGGTTCGCCTGGGAATGCCGTGTATCATCAACCACATCAAGATGCTCCTCTGGGACAAAGACATGAGGTAAATGCTCCTTGCCCGTCACTGATATTTACATCTTCGATCACTGTTGCCATTGAATCGATATATTCAGCCCTGCTGTCATCCCGCGGTGAATAGGTATTTATACACCGCGTTCCGTGCAGGACGTGTATGTAGTTTCCCACTACTATGTTTCAGCATCGCGTTGCAGACCTTGAAAGTCGCCGTAAGCCTGCCTCCCCTCCCTCCGCTGCGATGACAGTTGTCTCCGTATCTGTCAGATGACGGGCCGAGCTATTAAATCGCTCTCTGAAGCCCCGCCGTGCCCGCTCCTGTGTATGGCTGCCTCCAGCGCTGTCAGTAGGCTGCAGTGGATTCCGATCGGCCGGCCAGTCGGCGGCCGTGGTGGCACCTCCCCAGTCGACCTGTCCTGTACTGTCCGTACCGCTGAGCTGCTCTGTCCCCGTCCTGTCCACCGCTCTTGTCCTGCCCGGACCGCACTGTTGTCCTACCCGTCCTATGCGCTGCCGCCGGACGCTGTGGTTTTGTCCGTTCCGCTGTCCTGTTCCATCCCCTCCCCCCCCAAGCTAACTCCCCGTGGCTACAAAGTATCGTCAGTTTTCCTCTGGTTAAATTGGACGCAGCAGTGGCCCTCTACAGACCAATCCTTCCTTCCCACCTGTCTCTAACCCGCTCCCCCGCCGCCGTGCCGCCTCTGATCCCTCTCTCGCCGCTGTTCTGACGGCCGCCCGTGGCCATGTCTCTGATGACGCTGCTGCTGCCCAGGTCGTACTCGTACTACGTCGAGGTGTCCATGGACGAGTGCGACTGGGTGCGGGTCGTGAACCACTCGCGCTACCACTGCCGCAGCTGGCAGACGCTCTACTTCCCGCCGCGCGTCGTACGGTGAGTGACGGCTGAGACCGAGACTGAGTCAGTGACGGCTGAGCTCAGAGACTGAGGGTAGTAGCTGTACCTAGGATGGGCTAGTTATTAGCAGTGGGGTGATAGACGCTACCACTGTCGCAGCTCGAGTTTCTGGTGCTCTCGAGATTCTGGTGAGATTGTCATGTGGAGTGTGTAGTGCAGGACAGGTGTTCCATGTTTGTTTGTCCATTAATTTTGTGAACAGTTCAGCTCCAGTCGCTGACAGTCCCGTCCCCGTCTGTCTGTGTGTGTGTTTAGCTCGATCCGCGTGGTGGGCACCAACAACACGGTCAACAAGATGTTCCACCTGGTCTCCCTGGAGGCGTCCTACTGCAGCCGGCCAGAGCCCACCGAGAACGGACTCATCGGTAAGTGAACGGGATGGACGGGTCCACTTAGAACGGACTCATCGGTAATACAGGGGGATGAAAGGGGACAGAGCTGGAGCCTACTGGGGTCAGAGAGGGGACTAAGGGGAGGAATAGACATGCATAGGTCCATTGAAACTGTGAGGCCACATAATAGGTTGCGGGCGACTGGTGGCGACGTTGCAGCCTGGTTTGTTCACAAGCAGCTGTGCGGGTACCATGACTGGGGGGATTAGACTGACCATGTGTTTCTTGGTGATGCATCCTTAACACTAATGGGATTGATGTTATGATCTAACAGCGTATATTTTCATGTGACCGTGACCCTGTATTACCATTGAGCCCGCTCTGACCCCACCCCGACCTCCTCTGACCCCGCAGTTCCGCGTGAGAACGTGGCCACGCTGCAGCGCTCGGCCATGGTGATCGAGGGCGTGTCTCGGAGCCGGAACGCGCTGCTGAACGGTGACACGGACAAGTACGACTGGGACCACGGCTACACGTGTCACCAGCTGGGTAGCGGCAGCGTGGTGGTGCAGCTCGGACAGCCCGTCCTCCTCGACTCCATGAGGTGAGGGGATAGGAGAGGAGGGGAGGGGAGTTGAGGTGAGGTGAGGTGAGGTGAGGTGAGGTGAGGTGAGGTTAGGTGAGAAGAAGAGAAGAGAAGAGAAGAGGAGAGGAGAGGAGAGGAGGGAGTGAATGGTGTTATCGGTAGAGGATGGCAGCTGAGAGATGGGTGCGATAAGGGTATGTCGATGTCGGGTAGATACTTGCAAGTTCTTCGGACCCGTTCAGTTATAAAACGATTAACGACAATCATGTGCATTACGGGGAAAACATAGAGTATTGAACCCAGGATCCTCATGAGTGTCTGACTTGACCCGCGACTCCCCTACCCTCACTGTCCCTCTCCCGCCGCCGCCAGAATGCTGCTCTGGGACTGTGACGACCGCACGTACGGCTACTACATCGAGGTGTCGACCAACCAGCGCGACTGGACCATCGTCTGCGACCGCTCGCGCTCGCACTGCCGCTCGTGGCAGGTGGTCACCTTCAAACGGCGCCCGGTCGTCTTCATACGCATCGTCGGCACCAGGAACTCTGCCAATGAGGTATGCAGGGGGAGAGGCTATCCTGTCGAAGTAGAACGCTAGGTCGTGCTGTTTATCACGCAATCAGGCCCGACTATGGTGAGCGTAGTCGCAGGGATTGACTGTGTCACTCGACTTGTGTGGTGCGGTACAGTCTACCATTTTAGGCAGCTCTGCTGATTGCTTGTGAGAAATGGTATCCGATTAATGATACGTCATTAATCGGAACTCAGAAGTCGGCTGTACTTGCTGATATGGTGATTGGGCTCCTGTCTGTCAATGCCAACCGAGCTGAGAACTAACCCCTCGCTCCCTGCCCTCCGTCAGGTGTTCCACTGCGTGCATTTCGAGTGTCCGGCGCAGTGCGAGGTGGAGCGGCACACGGACGACCCGCCGGCCCCGGAGCCCGCCGAGGACGAGCCTGAAGACGAGCAGGAGGGCGCCGCCGGCCCGCAGACACCGGGGGCGGTCGGCGGAGAGAGGCGCTTCTCCTTCGAGCTCGAGCTACCGGTGGAGGAGGCAGCCGCCGCGGTGTTTGGCGATCAGTGCGAGCCGTGAGCGGTGCCGTGACGGTCAGTGCGAGCCGTGAGCGGTGCCGTGACGGTCAGTGCGATCTGGGAAGGGCCGTAACGGCACATCGTGACGGTCAGTACGTGCCGCGATGGTCACTGCGGGCCGTGACGGGGTTTCGTGACGGTCATCGGTAGCCGTGACGGTCGGTTGGATCTGTGATGAGCCATCAGAAGAGGAGAGGAGCGCGGGAGAGGTAGGAGGCGGCTCCCTAGTCAGTAATACGGTACAACGCTGCGTCGGGGACACTGAGACCCGGGCGGCGGCGGCTCGGGTGGGCCTAACTATGCACGGCGGACCCGGCTCGGCGCTACGTGTAGATCCGTTTTCATAATTATTTATTGGTTTGAGGGAGGCGGCGGTGGCTGGCGGAGGAGAGGTGCGGCGCGCGGAGTGGCGCCGAGAAGAGAGTACCTGGAGTAAGGTCGACCACACCCGGTCTCACTCAGCCCTCTCCCCGGGCGAAGCCAGGAAGAGAGGGTTCACCAGATGCATTATCATCGATATGGAGTGGCTGTAACACAACGAATAACTCGGCCCGCGGTAGGCGGGGCTGAAATTACTGAACCGGGTACATTATTTACATCTCACAGGATTTAATGGGACAGCTGACCCCACCAAACGGTTCGCTGTTTTATAATGTGCTTCCAACAAAGCAGTAGTATCCCTCTCAGTGGCCTCTATTTCTCAGAGCCGTTGAGTCCGCTGTGAATGGCGGCTTCCTTGCTGTGAATGGCGGGCTGGCCGCTGTGACCGGTGTTTTACGCCGGCTCGTCCAGTGCGCGGAGCTGCGGGCCGACCATCTAGTGCGAGGAGTGGTCGGTTATATTCTCATTCCCCTGCCCCGTGTGGGGCGGCAGCCTCAGTCGAGGCAACGAACGCTGTGCATGCAAACATCCCCAGTAGCTGGCCTGTTCGAACTGCGGCGCGGTGCCAGTGTCGGCGACGCCGGCCGCGCGTTCAGTCCCAAATCCGCCCGTGAGCTTTTCGTCTCTCATTCGTAAGACGCGTCTGGTGACCGGTCGTCCAGGCGTGTCACCTGTGCTCGCTAGTCTGATAATAAAAACAACTCTAGCTGCTAAAACAGACGTTTGAACCGGGAGATTACGGGTCAGCGATGGCAGACGGGGAATCTGGGAGCGGATACGTGCTTATATAACGATGAGCTTCACAGCTGAGTTTCACATGTCTATTGCAGTATCACCCGACATCGCGATCATTCCATTCTCACAATTGCAATAGCGCTCTAATTCGGCCGGTACGGTAACAATGACTGGAAACAATACACCGGCAGTTCAACACAGCACAATACCCCGTGTAACGGCCGCAGCCGCGCCCGCCCCCTCCCTCCCCTCCTCCCCTAGAATCCCGGGTCCCAGTCGGTGGTCTGCTCCCGCCTCACAGTTCGGTAACACACGAGTACATCTCCCGGCTGGAAGCGCACCTCGGGATCGGCCAGCATCAGGCCACACTCGACGTCCTTTTTTACCGTGTCCACCTCGTTCTTCAAGTGGCGCATTGATGACAGAGTGCCTGGGAAGGGGAGGGGAGGGTCACAGCTACGATACACCATACACCACCGCCTGACTGCCAGCAGCGTAATGAATCCTGAACGGACAGCGAACGCGGAACAATACGGAAACAAACCGCACATTGCTGACTGCGTTATTGGCCCCGGCCTGATTGTATTCCAGCCTTTGAACGCACTGTCAAGGTTTGTAGTGGCCCAGTCGCCTATGGCGAATGGCCATTATGGCCATTATGTGTAATACCAGAAACGAATTATAGTCACGGCATAACTTATCATTCGGCACAAAACTTGGGCACAAACATTCGCGTATACCCACGTTGCACATAACAAACTCTGCATGCTTCACTTTGCAATTTGTTCAATCTGCAATCGATAAAACAAACGCCGAATAAATAACCAACCTAACAGCAGACCTACTCAGGCCTGTCTTGCTACCTGCTGCCGTCCACCACCTCAAAACGCCCTCCCCTCATCACCAAGCGCCGGTGTATCATCACATACACTACAAACAGGGGTGTATACTATATAACTCACCGTCGTAGACCGTCTCGCCCTCTCTGACGAGTCGATACTTGTCGGCCTTTTTCAGCTGGCCCTTGGTACACCGACAGCCGGCCACGGGGATCTTGTGCTTCTTCTCCGTGACGACAAACTCCTGAAGGACGTTGGCCTCTCCTGGACAGGGGTACAGGCGCAGTGAGACGGTCAGTTTGGTGACGGTAACAGATATAGCCGCTGCAGGTGACAGCGTGGTGCGCCTGTACGTGTCAGTGGAAATTAATGCTAGGAACACGAGGGACAGGAAATAGGTTACCACACAAGTTCTGTGCGATAATTGGTATTATTATCATTAAATATACAGAGATGATATTTCGAGTACTCCTTTGTGAGGCATTGAAGAGCAATGTACTGGTGCAACGAACTAATCCAGTTATTGTTCCTCATGATACCACATCCACATGACCCTCTTACGCTAACACATGCCATTCCGTGCCCCAATCCCACCCACCCCTCCTCCCCACACCCGTTCCTCCTCCCTCCCTCGTAACCACCCCTCATCTCTACACCGATGCCTTTTCCCTTCCCTTCCATTAGTCCTCCCTCCCCTTCCTTTCCAGTGCGTACCTATGACCTCGTCCACCTCTTTGAGCGGCATCAGTTTGTTGAGCTCCTGTCGCACGTCATCCACCAGTCGGTATATGACGTTCACCAGACGAATGGGCGTGTTGTCGGACCGCGCACGGGCCGCCACATCGGGCGGAGCCTCCACGTTAAACCCGTACACCACAGCTGCAGGGGATAGAGGGATGTTAAACCCGTACACCACAGCTGCAGGAGGGGGATGTTAACAGTGCACAACAGCTGGAAGAGAGGACACGTTAAACCTGTACACAATTACAGCTGGAAGGGAGCCATTCAGCCTCAGCAATCGCAAAACTCCTATAACACAACACATAGTTACGTGTGTAGTTGTGTACCGCTAAAACATTTCACTCTACTGCTCCCAAACTCCTATACGCGGCACTCGGAACAGCCATGATCAGTGATCATTTATCACTGATCAGTCATGGGCCATGGCTCACCCCACCACCAGTGTTCGGTGATCCGGGCCGTGTTAGACTCGACCTTACGCCGACTGCCGGGCCCGGGCCGCCCGCGGACTGACCGTTGAACATTTTGGCGATGCTGACGTCACTCTCGGTGACGTTGCCGACGCCGTAGTGGACCAGGTCGAGCCGCACGTCCGACTCGTGGTACGTGTCCAGCACGTCCAGGATGGCCTCCACTGAGCCGTCCACGTCGCCTGGGAAAGGATCAGCCAGAAGTCAGAGTCAGAGTCGGAGACTGAGTCACCTCACGTCCAGGATGGCCTCCACCGAGCCGTCAACATCGCCTGGGAAAGGATCAGTCAGAGTCAGAGTCATAGTCAGAGAGTCACTTCACGTCCAGGATCGCCCACCGGGCCATCCACGTCGCCTGGGGCAGTCAGAGAGTCGGGGTCAACTGTCAGGGCCGGGTCAGAGTCACGAGTACGACACCCGGGTCAGAGTCAGGTCAAATCACAAGTGTCATCCCTGCATGTCCCTGCATGTGTCACACCAGTCGACCGGTGACACCGTGTCAGATAATTTCTACTTCACACCGCGGTATGCAACCAAAATACCAGCCGCGTCCCTCCCTCGGCTGTAGAGCCCTCCGTTCGCTCCCAGTTCGCTTCCGGCAGTGGCATAAACTCACAATGAAATCGTGCAGGCAATTGTGCAGGCAATTGTGCATCGCACTATGACTGTCCGGCTAAATGCCATCTGCTGATCTTTATTTAGCTGCGGAATTCAGTACTCGCAGTGCAGCGATTCCGTTCATGTGAAATCCGCTACATAACGTTCATCTGCCGCGGGCGGTAGCCGACCAGCACAGTACCTTTAACGATGACAGACAGTGTCGGACCCGTGTGCTCGTCGGTTATTTCCTTCTGACGTGGACCTCTGCTAGATGCTGGTCGGTACCTGGAACAACAAATAGCGAGATGTGATCACTGAAATGTGCGGACGAAACACAACCGGGAAAATAACACAAGGGCTGGAAAGGTCCATAGGTTTCCGTAGAAACCAAATAGGAGTACCCGCTTGTCGAGCTCCACCAACCCTATTTGCCTACATTATCATCAGATGCCGTCACTGTTTGCAGTCCCTAATTGAGCGCCCCGTCCACCTGACTTACCCTATGAATTCTATCTTCCCAACCCCGCCCACCAGCCCGTGTGTCTGCGCCCTGAATTTCCGTCCCCTCCACCATCCCTCTTCTGACCCGCCCCACTCCCCATAACGTCCCTCTCATACGACGGGCCTGTGCGCGCGTTTGAGTCTCTCCTCCCCCTCCCCACACGGATCTGAGCCCGCTCCCGCCTCTCTCTCTCTCTCTCTCTCTCTCTCTCTCTCTCTCCCCTCTCACACACAGACCTGAGGCCCCGTTTGAGTCTCTCCTCCCGCTCGGCTCGGTACTCTGACAGGTGCTTCTCGAGCCTCTGTTGCGCCGCCTCCTGGTCCTCCTGCGCCTTCCTGAACGACTCCTGGTGGTGCCGCCACGTCACCACCTCTTTGGCGTGTTTCTGCGGCACGGCGGAGCGACGGCCGTCAGTCTCGAGCATAGTGTTCAGTGAAGCACGGTGTTCAATGGAGCACGGCGCTCCGAGCACGGTGCTCCGGCATGCGCTCGGAATATTGCACAAACAATGGGACACTCGCAGCGCCGACTGCCGTGCGCTAGCGCCATTAGGTCCAATACTTGTAATGAGAGGGCTGGCGCGGCATTGCAATTCACTTTGATATGTTTGTATTCGTCGCATAACAGCAATTGTACGATGATTGCAGAACAAAAAGGCATCAATTTCGGCCTAGGCTATCATTCATTCAATACGCTGGACATTCGCTCAAAAATAATGCAATGAAATAGTGATGCTTTCAAGACCCTAGAGGGCTGTTTCGATGTGTCTCCCATTACAGTAGTTCCACTATAACTGTGTTTGTACAGTCAGACCGTGGAGCCACCGCGCGCGCCTCACCTCTGAGTCGACCTCGAGCACCTCGAGGCCGGCCGAGGGCAGCTCCTTCCAGCCGAGCACCTCGACGGGCGCGCTGGGCGGCGCGCGCTGCACCGGCCGGCCGGCGTCATCGAACATGGCGCGGACGCGCGCCCAGCAGCCGCCGGCCACCAGCACGGCGCCGCGGCGCAGCGTGCCGCGCTGCACTAGCACCGTGCTCAGCCGGCTGACCAGACAGACAGGTAGACAGATCGGCGGTCAGAACATCGTACTCAGGCGGCTGACAGATAGACAGGGGCGGTCAGACGGTCAGACATACAGACAGACATACAGACAGACAGACAGACAGACAGACAGACAGACAGACAGACAGACAGACAGACAGACAGACAGACAGACAGACAGACAGACAGACAGACAGACAGACAGACAGACAGACAGACAGACAGACAGACAGACAGACAGACAGACAGACAGACAGACAGACAGACAGACAGACAGACAGACAGACAGACAGACAGACAGACAGACAGACAGACAGACAGACAGACAGACAGACAGACAGACCAGACAGACCAGACAGACAGACAGACAGACAGACACACGGTCATACAGTACAGAATAGTGCTCAGATGGCTGACAAAACATACATACAGACAAACAGACGGTAATACAACACAATTAACGTTGCGACGGACTAAAATGGCGCGTACAATAATCAGTGGAGTGGTCATGCTGCTGTATTGACGGCACACATGCTGTAGCCATGGGAAATCAATATGCTTCCTCGAAAACAAATAACGCATCACTGTTGGGCAAGTTCTTAAAACAAGTATTAGGTAACTACTTCTCTACGATAACGAGTACGGCATTATGACATTGAGCGTGGAATGCGTCATTATTATTCTAGCGTCATTACATTAGTAATGGCTTATATCCACGCCCCCTCCCCCACCCGCCCCTAACCGGCGGCCACCAAGCGACAGTATGCGACACTCACCCTCGTTTGGGGTCCGTTCGGCTCTCGAGTACAACTCCCTCGACAGGCCCGGTCCGCTCCGCCCTATAACAGCGCGATGGACCGGTCACAAGGGGTCAGTAAGGGTCACATAGGTCAGTGGGGTCACATAGCCTCACATATCAGTCTGGATATTCAGTCCGGGTCACTCAAGGTCAGTCGGGAGCACACGGTAGTCCGAGTCACGGTATCGTTCGAGATCAACTGGGCCAGTTCAGAGCATACGAAAGTGAGCCACCTCGTTGTTCTGCCCGGGTTCGCAGGGCAGTGCAGCGCGCAACTTTTGCACCGTTGGTCAAGTACGCACCGCTGAACAATCGAAAACCCAACAATGGAAAAATAACCAAATTTAGCACAGAGCATCGCATCAAGATAATCTGAGGCTAAATCTCTTTGCATGCTAATTAGCGTGACGACCTCTATTCAGCTCGTATATGAGCGACCTATCAGTCGTCACGGCCCACTGGTAAGTGGCGACACTCCCGGCCTCTGGTGACCTGCTCCCCCGATAGTCGTCCCCCTGTCCTGCAACTGACGCCCCCCCCCCCCCCCCCGCCACTGACCGGAGGTCGAGCAGCTCTGCCAGCGTCAGGATGGTCTCCTTGAGCTCCGTGAGGCCGTGTCCGCGCAGGGCCGAGATCTGCACCGCCTGCACCTCACCGCCGAGCTCCTCCAGCTGCACGCCGGCCTCGAGTAGCGAGCGCTTCGTGGCCTCCTGCCGGACGCACAAACACAAACACAGCGTAAACACAGCCATCAACAAACACCCAGGGCGCAGACAGCTGCACTTCGAGCAGCGAGCGCTTCGTGGCCTCCTGCCGGACACACAAACACTAGCATGTAGGACATAATGAAGTGTAAACAGACGAATCACTGGGTGGCCGTTTGTTTGAATGGGTAGGTACTTACGGCCTGGCAACCAATGGGTATTTGAACAGAAACTCGTCACCAATCTGTCAGCTCCTACCATACTTCCCGTCCAGACCCTTAATTCTCCTCTGCCCTTGACGCTCCCCTCCTCCCAGTTCAAATACCCTTGCCTTTCCTCGCTCCCATCTCCCCCTCTCCTCTCTTTCTCTCGCTCTCTCTCTATCTCTCCCCTCTCCCCCTCTCACCACATCGGCCTCCGGTTTGTCACATTTGTTGATGGCCACCAGGAGCGGTACGCCGGCATCCTCCGCGTGCCGGACGCTCTCGCGAGTCTGTTCCATCACGCCGTCATCAGCCGCCACCACGAGCACCACCAGATCGGTGGCCAGAGCGCCGCGGTGACGCATCGCTGAGAACGCCGCGTGCCCGGGCGTGTCCAGGAAGGTCATTGTCTCGTCGTCCAGCTGCACTGCGGACACGGGAGGGAGGGACGGGGGAGAGGTTAGGGAGGGGTGTCCGAGGGGGAGGGTAGGGAGGGGTGCCCGAGGGGGAGGGTAGGGAGGGACTTCCTGCAGCCAAGTTAGCGAGGGGTGCAGCGCTAAATGTGGAATCGGGGTTCGGTGCGCTTCCGGGGAATTTCAGCGGCCGGAGGTCACAATGAAAGTAGAGTGAAAATCGTGTGATTATATGTACTATGTAGGCTCGTACTGCTGAGGCAGGCTGGAGGCGGTGTAGTGATTGTGCTGTGTGCTGTGGGCTGTGCGTTGTGCTGCTCACCTCTGAAGGCGCCGATGTGCTGTGTGTTATGTGTTGTGTGCTGTGTGTTGCTCACCTCTGAAGGCGCCGATGTGCTGAGTGATTCCTCCAAACTCAGAGTCCACCACGTGCGAGTGCCGCAGCGCGTCGAGCAGCGTCGTCTTGCCGTGGTCCACGTGGCCCATAATGGTGACCACGGGCGGCCGGCGGGGCACAGCCGACCAGTCGGCGGGCGGCGGCCTGCGGGGAGCGGGGTAGGTAGTAGGTACAGTCAGTCACAATCCGGCGGGATACAGTTAGTCACAGACCGGCGGGGAGCGGGGTACAGTCAGTTACAGTCCGGCGGGGTACAGTCAGTCACAGACCGGCGGGGAGCGGGGTACAGTCAGTCACAGTCCGGCGGGGTACAGTCAGTCACAGTCCGGCGGGCTACAGTCAGTCACAGACCAGCGGGGAGCGGGGTAGGTACAGTCAGTCACAATCCGGCGGGGTACAGTCAGTCACAGACCGGCGGGGAGCGGGGTAGGTACAGTCAGTCACAATCCGGCGGGGTACAGTCAGTCACAGTCCGGCGGGGAGCGGGGTACCGGGGTAGAATCAGTCCCAGACAGGCGGGCACTGCCGACCAGTCGGCTGGCGGAGGACAGCCGACGGGTGGAGTACGCTCAGCCAACGACAGACAGTGTTACTGGGGGATCATAACGATGATTCCGTAAGAATCAAGAATCAAGGTTGTTTGGGCTCTAGAAGACGACGTCGAGGTTTTTGTTGCAGCCCATTTTTTTAATCGCACCCTCTTCTGCGACAGTCTAATTTCACTTGGGTCAATCTTGTCTGTCTGCACGATGTTTGTCATAGCCAGCGTTGCCTAATCATATGTCACTGAACATATTGCTGGGATTGCAACTTACCGATGAAGAGCAAATAAATAATAGACGGTTTGTAAAGCGTTTTTCAATTGACATAATAAATCGATATCCCACTGTCGTCAGTTGAGACGAAATCTTGACACCGGGTAAATGTCAGCCGACTGCTTACTGCATCATAAATGAGGTCGGGCGGGTCACGGCATTTGACAGATATGTCAGCAGCGGTTTGGACCAGCGCTGTTGACCCAGCACTGGACGATGTCCTGCTGACAGGGTTACAGCACCACAACTGTTCAGTGATGTTCAGATAAGTGCAGACCGCCCGCCTGCGCGTGATGTCCTTAGCGGGTTATAACACTACTGTTCAGTGTTGCACAGAGTCCGCCCACCTGCGCGCGATGTCCTATAGCGGGTTATAAACACTACTCAGTGTTGTACAGAGTCAGCCCACCTGCGCGCGATGTCCTATAACGTGTTATAACACTACTGTCCAGTGTTGTACAGAGTCCGCCCACCTGCGTGCGATGTCCTATAGCGGGTTATAACACTACTGTTCAGTGTTGCACAGAGTCCGCCCACCTGCGCGCGATGTCCTTGCTGACGGGCGGCGCGGCCGGCTCCGGGGCAGCCACCACGGCGGCGCGCCGGCCAGTCTTCTTCACCACGCCCTGCAGCACGCTGATGTCTCCGATCGGCGCGTGGGACGAGTCGTAGTCGTCCGTGCCCGGGATGAACAGCATCGCCTCGTACACGTGGTCTGGCGGCGCCGTCAGATTCAGAGGGAGTCAGCGCAGGGGTCACGGGTCGGGACATTGGGTCAGGAGGTCACGGAGCCGAACCGAAAACGGGAGCTTCGTCGTGGACGGAGTTTAGAGATAAGGTCACGAACCTCTGGATTGTCAACTGAGCTATCTACCTTTCGCCATAGCAAATCAGAAATAAGCCGCAGTGGCGCAGTTCATGGCACATCGACAGCAAACTGGCGCCAATCGCGGTCCGACGCAGCCGCATACGAACCTTCCGTCTTCTCGAGCGCGGCAGCCAGCTCGGCGACCGTCATATTCCGCCAGATCTTCACCACCGGGTCCGACTTGGCCTTCGGCTTGAAGGCCAGCTGGAGCAGAGCCGAACAAGCAACGGGTCAATCTCGGGGCGAGGCGCAGCAGGGCGGGTGGCATGGTACATCACCGGCAGCAGTTGACTAGGTTGTAAAATCAGCCATAACACATGGCACTACACTGTATAGGTTTATACTCAATTCTTTAAATGCTGCTCTGGCTTAAACATTGCCTTATTTCAAATGTAAGGCCGGAGGGCTCCAAAGGCCTAATGACTTTTCCAATAGAACATCCAACAGACCACCGAACCTGAAGCCCCTGCCCTACCGTTTAGTTTCCCTGTGAATTGTGATCATGGCCCACCTTTTTGGTCTCCTTGGTTTTCCTCTGTTTGAGCAGGCGCGCGGACATGTGCAGCGCCCGGGTCTGTCCGCAGAGACTGCAGGCGTGGCCCGGGAGGGCGCCAGAGGGGTCCGGGGGTCGCTGCCAGCGGCGACCGGCACCAGCGCGCAGCCAGCCCCTGGCGGCACTGAAAACCAGTCAGCAGCAGGCTTGAAGGTGACAGGAGCAGCACTGAGTGATGAAACCTTAACCAGCGCCCTGCTGAGGAGGGGGTTGAACACTCCCAGCAGTTTTTCGCTAATGTTTCTGATACACCTCATCATACACCTTTTCCGCACATGCTGTGAAAATTTCGACGAAAGTCACCCAACGTCAGGTCACCAGGTCACATCAAGTGATCTCACCTCTTAAAAAGTTCCAATGCCTGTCATATCTACACCAAGTAACCGGTCACTTTGAAACTTCGGCAATTGATAAGAGCAACAATATGTAACAAATGCATACCTCGGAATTTTGATACGGTGACCTAAGGTCAGGTTAATTTTGCGACCTCTCCATTATAAGGCAACGGGAGAAAATTGAGAGGTGTCTCTTTTGAACGAACGTCATTCTACACACTTTTAAACACCGTATTACAAGTAAACATGATGCACTGAACCAGGAAATGGCACCTGTGAACCTCCTTATGTCCCTGAGGTCATCTTAGTTCCCAAATGGGGTCTAACAATTTTTCAGTAACTTCTGATAGAGGCATGCTAGAGCGATGGAAACACCTCAGATGTATTTGGATCGGCGATATGGATCGACTGATATGCAGCATGATCTTTTCCAGTCAGGTCATGACCTTGACCTGAGTTCAAATTTTCAATCTGGCCTTTTAAGGTCAAATTGTAGTTCATTTGACCCACCTCAATGAGAGGAACTACGATGCTGGCAGAAGTAATGTTGTGCCTCTCTTGAGTCAAATGTTAATTAAGAAAAAAACATTTTTCATAACAAAATGTTTTTTTTTTAGTTTTTGCCCAATGGAGGCTTGACTGTTCAAACATTCATTATTATCATTCAATTGTCATACAAATTTCCAACATGGAAGAGGCAAAAAGACATGGATTTCTATGGCATGGATGGTAATGGAGCTCCTGCATCCAACTACATGATAGCTACTAGATCTGTATGATAGCATACCTTGATCCACTTGCATTTGTAATGGAGTAGACAATGCGACTGATCAGAAGAGCAGCCATGCTTCTGGACTACTTCAACTTAAAGAAGACCCCTGAAAGATACACAAAGTAACACAATATTAAAACCTTGTACATCAAAATATTGCAACTAGCCTTCACAAAGATATGGGTTCCATCGGTTCCATCCCAGAATTCATGTTATCACATGCCTACGGGTATTCAATTGTTGATAATTTTTTCATAATAACAGCAACATCTACATTCTATAGGCTTATCAAGTCCCCTTCAGAATTTCCCATTCATTTCTGATCAATAATTCATTTCTGAAAAAAATTATCCTGCTGTCAGTGACAGCAGCAGAGCCTCAATGTGCAGCCATCCCAACCTTCAGTGATCAGCAGGAAAGACCAGGAAAGACCGCCACCAATTGAGCCAAACAAGAATGCTGACGTTCCTACTGAAATCTGAATGGAAGGTTACTGATGATTTTGGCATCCAATTGTGAAATCAACATCGCTGAACTTAATCCATCCATTTTCGATGTAGGAGCAACAGAAGGTAAGCTTATCCACATGATGCCGGCAATTAAGAGTGAAACCTCACCCTTCAAAATGGTGAATGATCTCGAGCCTGACCTTATCATTCGGAACAAAATCACAAACTCTAATCATACCAATACCAATACCGGTTTACCACGGCCCATGTTTTCTGCACTGACATATGCATTTAACTGTGTTCATGAAAACAAAAATAAAAGCACACTCACTAGAAGATTACCCCATTACCTGCCCTGCCCACTTCAGCTTTGGGAATGGGGCCTCCTGACACAGGCTTCGGAATTTGCAAGAATTTGCAAGATTCCTATGCAATTTGCAAGATTCCTATAGGAATTTGGATCGCATTTTGCACTGGCCGCGCCACTAATTGAAGCAAAAGCGTAAGCCACGCTTCTTACCAGCGCAGCCATATGCGGGGGAATTTTTAGAAATGGTCCTTCGTTGGTGTACCGTATGCACGGACGTATAAATAAACTGGACCCGCAACCACCTCCTTCACCTGTCCGTGCTTCTATCCTCAGGATACTGAAATCCTTCTCCTCCACGCCACAACCCCCTTCCGGGCTGGGCAGGCAACTTTATCTCATGCGGGCTGCTCCCTTGGAGCGGCACCGCTGCTCCTGAGGGAGCGCACCCCGTAGCCGGGTGCCGTGAGTGCCTTGGGGCTGGGTGGCCTGTCCTCTGGACGGGCTCAGCCCCGGCGACTCACTAGGGTGCCTGCCCAGACCAATGTCTCCCCCTAATTCCTATCATCCTTCCGGCTCTGCAATGGTCTTGTCGACCGAAAGGGCCTAACCCAACAAAACAAACAAAAACAAAAAAAAACACCTCCATTCAGGTGAAGCCGACAAGGCGCCATTTTACGTTGCCAAAAAACCGTGCTCTGGAAGGTCATCGAGCCAATACAATTAGAATTGCGTCCAAACGGATGATCGGATCGAGATGCTGGTGGTACCGTTCGACGGGTAATTCCTTGAGGCAGGTGATGATGGATGTCACATGTCACCCGGTGTCACATGACGCGTGCCACGTGCCGACAAACGTACAAAGGGCAAAAACCTTTAAGCGACGCTTCAAATCAAACGAAGGGCGGCACAGGTGCCAAACTCACAGGTCACATGTCCCAGTGTTCGACCACTAACATATGGTATGCTCGGCATCAGGGGGTGCGGAATGCACGCGCTAGTGGCGAAAAACATGTTTTGAGGAGGCATCCTCCGATTCCGGAAAACCTTGACCTAGGCACACCAAATTTGGCACACTGACACTACTGGACACGCGCTTTAAGGGGCTGTACAAATAGGCGTGCTGGGGTACACGGGGCACGTGCTGTGCACGTGCAAACCTTTTGATTTTGCACTCCAGGTGTCACAAATGCAATCAGTGGCGGCGGAACATCTTCAATTAAAGGGGGGCACTGCCGACTTTTGGTCCCATTCTTTCCATGCAACGCCCATAGGGCGTTGCATAGAAAGGGCTATGTTAAAATGCCCAAATCAAGGGGGACACGGTGCTCCGGTGCCCCCCTCGTTCCGCCGCCTATGATTTCAATATCACTTGCTTGCTCAATGCTCATTGCTCAGCTCGTATTGTAAGAGCACTGCGGCACAGCATAGATGCAGGCGCTTTGCTACTGCCATCTATGGGTGAAAGATGAAGATTATCCGCGCCGGGCGGTGGGGATGCTTGGACACCCTATGTGGATTTATGTAAATATCTCGAAAACGGCGTTGTGTAGCGCCGCCGTTTTCGGCACACCTTTTCATACATCTTTTTCACACATGCTGCGTAATTTTCAGACTTAGGTCACTCAAGGTTAGGTCATCAGGTTACGTCCAAGTGACCTTACCTTAGGAAAAGTTATAGTGCCCGTCATAGCTACACAGACTGAACAAACAATCGGTTTAAAACGTGCAGCGATTGATAATAGCAACAGTATGTACGCAGAGTACCTCTGCCTCGGAATTTCAATCAGTGGCGGCGGAACATCTTCCATTAAAGGGGGGCACTGCCGACTTTTGGTCCCATTCTTTCCATGCAACGCCCATAGGGCGTTGCATAGAAAGGGCTATGTTAAAATGCCCAAATCAAAGGGGGACACGGTGCTCCGGTGCCCCCCTCGTTCCGCCGCCTATGATTTCAATATCACTTGCTTGCTCAATGCTCATTGCTCAGCTCGTATTGTAAGAGCACTGCGGCACAGCATAGATGCAGGCGCTTTGCTACTGCCATCTATGGGTGAAAGATGAAGATAATGGTTATTGCGGTACAGTATTACTGCAGGCGCCAACAACGTAGATAACAAAGATGGCTATGCTGCGCTGGCCGGCGATTGAGGCGTAAATTTGCGTTGCTGGGTAGCAAAAAGTTTAGGAGTCCGAATTTGACAAAATAAATGATTTGCCGTGCTGGTGGTCTGAGCCTGAGGTCGCAAAATCAACAAACCCCTAGGTCAGTGATATTAAATTTCGAGGTAGAGGTTGGTACTCTACGTATATAGTGTTGCTCTTATCAATCGCTGCACGTTTTAAACCGATTATTCAGTCTGTGTAGCTATGACGGGCACTATAACTTTTCCTAAGGAGGCCACTTGGACGTAACCTGGTGACCTAGCCTTGAGTGACCTAAGTCTGAAAATTACGCAGCATGTGTGAAAAAGACGTATGAAAAGGTGTGCCGAAAACGGCGGCGCTACACAACGCCGTTTTCGAGATATTTACATAAATCCACATAGGGTGTCCAAGCATCCCCACCGCCCGGCGCGGATAATTTTTTTGCACGTGCAGAGCGCACCTTTGGGGGCCACCAGGAGATGGATATGCTCAATAACTATGCTGGAATACATTCTGGGTGGCGTGTGTAAATTTGGCACTTTGAGCTTGTCAGCGCTACCCGCCCTACCCGCATATGTGACACCTGGAGTGCAACATCAAAAGGTTTGCACGTGCACAGCACGTGCACCGTGTACCCCAGCACGCCTATTTGTACAGCCCCTTAAAGCGCATGTCCAGTAGTGTCAGTGTGCCAAATTTGGTGTGCCTAGGTCAAGGTTTTCCGGAATCGGAGGATGCCTCCTCAAAACATGTTTTTCGCCACTAGCGCGTGCATTCCGCACCCCCTGATGCCGTGCATACCATATGTTAGTGGTCGAACACTGGGACATGTGACCTGTGAGTTTGGCACCTGTGCCGCCCTTCGTTTGATTTGAAGCGTCGCTTAAAGGTTTTTGCCCTTTGTAAGTTTGTCGGCACGTGGCACGCGCCATGTGACACTGGGTGACATGTGACATCCATCATCACCTGCCTCAAGGAATTACCCGTCGAACGGTACCATCAGCATCTCGATCCGATCATCCGTTTAGACGCAATTCTAATTGTATTGGCTCGATGACCTTCCAGAGCACGGTTTTTTGGCAACGTAAAATGGCGCCTTGTCGGCTTCACTATCTTCCATAGGAGGTCCATTGGGATTGTCAGTCCAGTTTATTTATACGTCCGTGACCGTATGTCATACATGAGTGGCTCGAACCTATGCAAAACAAAACACAGTTTGCTGTTTGTTTGCCTGCGATACTGACAGTTTTCTACTAACAGTTGTATGGAAACTATCGCATTGATTTGACGCCATACAACGGCCGACGATTTGCAAGTGTGCGGCTCGGAGCAGTGGCGGATCCAGGGGAGGGCAAACAGGGCAACTGTCCCTCCCAAACGGCAACGTTTTAACACTACGCCTATAAATTAAACAGTGCATGGAAAGAACCACTACGTTGTTATGGTTCACCCCTCCCAAAACTCTGAGCTGAATCCGCCAGTGGCTCGGAGCGACGTTGGAGGCGGCTGCGGACCACCGGCCGCCGGCCAACAGCTCGACAAGCATGTGCTATTGGTCTCAAGATAAGGGACCAGGCGACCTGTATGTTTGATGCGGTGAATACCCCCACCTTCGCCACACTCGCTCGGTGCTACGGAGCTCCGATCTCGCGACCGGTCACCTGTACTTGTAGACTGTGCCGCATGACATAGCAGTCGAGCGGGCCAGCGGAACTTAGGCGGAAACTAGCGCCGCGTTTGACAGAGAAGGACGCTCACCATTCCGCGGCGGGAGGGCCGCTCGCCATTTTAACTCCACGTAGCGTCTCGCTGACAATGAAAGACACTACAGGACGACAATATATCGTTCCACAAAAGTTATGTCCACTACCTATGACAACACTTTCCTGTTCCTAATCGTGTCCACACCTGAGGGATAACGATTCAGGCTGACTCCTGCATTGCGCGGCCCTTGGCCGCAGAGCATGAGGTGACGAACGAACCTCGGGTCACGGATCACCGAGCTACGGCCAGTTTCACAGAGATTGTCCACCTGAACGGCTGCGTCGGTACGTGAATGTCTGAAATTTCTATCAAGGGAGCTGAACCAGACAGTCGGCATGCTCCATGACACAGCGTGTCATTGCTGATTGGTTGGGACATCTGCCTGTTGTTTTTGTTTGCATTGCAAGCACCGACGGGGGTCTGCGCCAACTTAGTACCGACGGGGGGGGGGGGCGGATGACCGCCCCCCTGAGATCTCGAGAACGAAGCAAGATAGCGACAAGCGGTAAACGGCATCGGATACGCACGGCCAAGATCTACAATTTTTACTAAGGTCATTTTCAGGTCAGGTCAAAGATGACGTCACAGGGGTCGAAAAAGTCAAAATGGCGGCGCTAAATATGGAGAGAGTTTTTCTCGAATAACTTTCGAATTAGTCAAGATAGGAACAAACTAAGGGCATCATCGTGATCCTCTCGTCAATCCGCATCGAATGATATATATGTTGACCTCGAAAGGTCAAGGTCAAAGGTTGACCTCAGGTCACGTGACCTCGAGGTCATCATGTATATCATTCGATGCGTCTTGACGAGCTGAACACAATGAGACCATCCACGCGTCTGTATCTTGTTCCTGTACGGAGTTATTGGCCAAAAACCTTTGGTGACCTTTGATGACGTCACATGACCTCACAGCTGCCCAACAGCAAAACAGACCTCAAGGTAGTGAAGGTTGATCGTATATGAAGTCATGTATGGTATATGGGGCCATTCCGACCCGTTTTAGTGGTAAAAACAGGGAGTTGATTTTTCCCCCATTGACTTATAATGGGGAGGTCGCGAAATTGACCTGACCTTAGGTCACCGATATCAAAATTCCGAGATATACAAATTGTAGCTACTAATGACCTAATAACATCCTGCGACTTTCAAAGGCCTCCGACATCTACTGTAGCTCTGGCACGGTGACAAAGTTGCAAAAAAGTGACTTGAGGTTGGGTCATTCAAAGTGACCTGGTGACCTGACCTTGAAAGGTAGGAGGTTCAAACTTGCACACCATGTGTAAAATTGATAAGGGAATAGTCATACCAAATTTCGCGGCGCTACGCGCCGCGGTTTTCCCGCTATTCGCGAAAAACCTCAGGGGGCGGATATCCGCCCCCCCCCCGTCGGTGCGCGGGTTAATTATAGACGAACTGTCTGCACAGTTGGTGGGATAAGCGTACGGCTGCTGGCAGTGTTGCTGATCGTTCCAGTTTGCCGGCATGCGCCTACTAGTGGTGTCAATTACGGAAAATCGGAATACCGATATCAAACCAAATACCGACCAAAACCGTGGGGAAATACCGAAACCAAACCAACTTGGGAAAATGAAGAAAATTGACCAACTTTTTACAGATTTCTTAGCCTCTTATACATCAGTGAGGGTTCATGATACCAACAAAATACCAAACACATTACGATTGAAATACCAAATACCAAGTTGGTATCGGTTTGGTATCGGTATACCAAAAAGTTGGTATCGGTTTGGTATCGGTATACCAAAAAGTTGGTATCCGATTGACATCTCTAGCGCCTACCATTTCAAACGCCACAGAAATCGCATTGAAAAAGGCGACCGGGAAGAGGGGCTAGTATACTTGGCGACAAAATTGGCCAAGCGGCTCGCGCTGAAGCGCTATCACATCTCCAAACAGGACCGTGAGACGCAATTGGAAGAGCTCTCCGAGGCTCATCATCTACCTCCGGCCCAATACTAAGCCAACGCATGGTCAATGACATGTTGACATGCATTTTCAATCAGGACGGTGCGCCAACTCATCGCTCTGCCAAGGCCTAGCGGTGGTGCGAATTGAACGTGCCAGACTTCTGAAGTAAAGAGATGCTAGCCGGCTGCCCTCCGGACCTCATCCTGATCGACGAACTTCGGGCTGTCGTCCAGCAGAACCTGGACAAACAGAAGCCGGCGACCAGCCTCGGCGCCTTGTCGTTACAGCTCAAACGGGCATGATAAAACAATCCAGCCGTATTTACTGCACAACCTAGTTGCCAACATGCAAATTGCGCTCGTATGTAAGTCCCTGTTCGTGGAGAATAAAATGAACGCTAAAGAGAATCGCTGTCCCCTATGTAGTAACTTAGAGAAAACATTTTTTTAGAGGATAAAACTTATGCCGGACCATGTAGCTCACGCATCATTCATTGCAGTTTCACCTTAGACTGCAAGACGTGGCAATTTGTTTAGGTCTTAGGACATAGCAATTAATGTTGTCATGATCGGCATACCGCCGAGAACGTCACTATTTATATCATTATCTTAATCTCGCGAGAGCCGTAGGTATACATACCTACAACTCCCGGAACTGCGGCGCCGACCGCCGTCCCCATGTACCTACATATGTATTGGTCGGCACCAGGCGCTGTTCCCGCCGGCCGGTGTGTCGGTCACATCCACGACCACACCCGTCGCTGCCTGGTCACCGTGTTCCCAGTAACGGTGGCCAGGGGGGCGTGCGTCCGTGCGCCCCCCGCGCCCCGCCCGGCCGGCCGGCCGGCGGCAGTCAGCAGTCGCAATCAGTCGGGGACGGCCACGAGTCGAGAGCGGTCAGCTGCGCTCCCGGCGGACGCACGGTAAGGCCCAGCGGAACGGACTATCGCACTAACAATATGTAGAACGGCCGCGCTGCTGCTCTAGAGAGATCACACAACATATCAACGGCTTTAGGTTAGAACTTTCAAAAATATTAATCGAAACGTTAATGATGATTTAACACGCGCAGTGGAAGGGTTGCGAGTACTACGCCCAGTGGAAGGGGGGCGGATGTCGCCCCCCCTAAGATCTCAGCTCCCACTGGAGCTAGAAAGACGAAATTTGGAGGGTAGATGGGGGCCATAGGGAACTCTGTTGTGTGCGAATTTCATGACCCTAGGTCAATATCTTCAAGGTCAAATGAGGTCAAATGTGGTCAAATCTGCCATATGAGCGACTTTTTTTGCGTTTTCACGCCGACAACTCCAAAAGTTACCGGCCGATTACCTTTTTTCTTTCACTCTACGAAAGATCAAACATTTGTGAGCACGTATGGTGAATTTCTAGTTAATCTAACAATAAATATGGCAGTTACAAGCCTGCTTAGGATAAGATGTCGCCGGCTGAAGCGGGACCGGCCGATGCGGGAAACGCGAGCCGCGGCAATCACAATTTTGTGTTTACACACTCATAACTCAAGTGGTTACCGGCCGATTTTCAAAATTCTTTGACCATATGATTGCATGTACATTTCTCAGTCTTCTCACCAAAGTTGACGCGAATCTAATGTAATCAGCAGTAAGGAGCGCGATGTAAAGACTGAACCGTCCCGCCCCGGCACAGCTGACGCGTCTGTGTGCCCCGGTGCTGACTGCTGCTGACCCGTCTGTGTGACCCGGTGCTGACTGCTGCTGACCCGTCTGTGTGACCCGGTGCTGACTGCTGCTGACCCGGTGCTGACTGCTGCTGACCCGTCTGTGTGACCCGGTGCTGACTGCTGCTGACCCGGTCCTGACTGCTGCTGACCCGGTGCTGACTGCTGCTGACCCGTCTGTGTGACCCGGTGCTGACTGCTGCTGACCCGTCTGTGTGCCCCGGTGCTGATGGCTGCTGACCCGGTGCTGACTGCTGCTGACCCGGTGCTGACTGCTGCTGACCCGTCTGTGTGACCCGGTGCTGACTGCTGCTGACCCGTCTGTGTGACCCGGTGCTGACTGCTGCTGTCCCGTCTTTGTGCCCCGGTGCTGGCGGCTGCTGACCCGTCTGTGTGACCCGGTGCTGACTGCTGCTGACCCGTCTGTGTGACCCGGTGCTGACTGCTGCTGACCCGGTGCTGACTGCTGCTGACCCGTCTGTGTGACCCGGTGCTGACTGCTGCTGACCCGGTGCTGACTGCTGCTGACCCGTCTGTGTGCCCCGGTGCTGACTGCTGCTGACCCGTCTGTGTGACCCGGTGCTGACTGCTGCTGACCCGTCTGTGTGACCCGGTGCTGACTGCTGCTGTCCCGTCTGTGTGCCCCGGTGCTGGCGGCTGCTGACCCGTCTGTGTGACCCGGTGCTGACTGCTGCTGTCCCGTCTTTGTGCCCCGGTGCTGACTGCTGCTGACCCGTCTGTGTGCCCCGGTGCTGACTGCTGCTGACCCGGTGCTGACTGCTGCTGACCCGTCTGTGTGACCCGGTGCTGACTGCTGCTGACCCGACTGTGTGCCCCGGTGCTGGTCGGGTGCTGCAGGGTCCGTCGGAGCCCACTCAGCCGGCATTATGACCGGTACGACGCCGCTGCGCCGCGGCCCCCTGAAGGTGGCCGTCGGGGCCGCTATGCTGGTCACCTTCATGCTGCTGGTGGCTCAACACTCATGGTGAGCTGGCCGGGGGTCATCGGCATGACATAGGGTGTCATAGCGACACGTAACACAGTGACACGTAACAGTGTCACACCGCGACGCGATGGGAACGCGAAATATTGAGCTGTGTCGTCGTCGTGGCCAACCATGGGCTCAGCCATGCAGCTGCTGCGACTCTAGTTCGCCAGTACGGAGCGTACACTGTGACCTCACGACTCCAGTTCTGGAGATTTTGGAAACTTTTACTTTCATGCACACTTCCTTCGATTATATTTTTTGGTTGAATTCGGTAAAGCGAGAATGAGTGTCACTGTTGTCGTCACAGCCAATAACGCCGCAAAACCTGGGCAGAGGCTAGGGGCGAATCGGCCCCCACCTGTAGTTTTTTCTCTTGACGGAAAACGACTTAAGCGAAAAAGACTTAACCCTATTCCTGGCGGGGGGGGGGCCTCAGGAGCCCCCCCCCCCTGAGGTTTTTTGGTTATTTCTCCCAAACGCGTTGAGCTAGGAAACTCAAATTTTCTGACTTTTCCTAAAAGGCTTCTACGCAACATGTCTGAAAATTTTGAGTTGATCTGACCTCAGGTCAGGTCACCAGAGGTGGTTTGGTGACCCTACCTCAGAAAAGTTTGCAATCACGCCAGAGCTAGAGTTTTTGACCGATCAATTTCTTCTCTTCAGGCTTTAGTTAGGGTACCAGTATGTGCAATTTGTATATCTCGGAATTTTGATATCGGTGACCTAAGGTCAGGTCAGTTTCGCGACCTCCCCATTATAAGTCAATGGGGGAAAAATCAACTCCCTGTTTTTACCACTAAAACGGGTCGGAATGGCCCCATATACCATACATGACTTCATATACGATCAACCTTCACTACCTTGAGGTCTGTTTTGCTGTTGGGCAGCTGTGAGGTCATGTGACGTCATCAAAGGTCACCAAAGGTTTTTGGCCAATAACTCCGTACAGGAACAAGATACAGACGCGTGGATGGTCTCATTGTGTTCAGCTCGTCAAGACGCATCGAATGATATACATGATGACCTCGAGGTCACGTGACCTGAGGTCAACCTTTGACCTTGACCTTTCGAGGTCAACATATATATCATTCGATGCGGATTGACGAGAGGATCACGATGATGCCCTTAGTTTGTTCCTATCTTGACTAATTCGAAAGTTATTCGAGAAAAACTCTCTCCATATCTAGCGCCGCCATTTTGACTTTTTCGACCCCTGTGACGTCATCTTTGACCTGACCTGAAAATGACCTTAGTAAAAATTGTAGATCTTGACCGTGCGTATCCGATGCCGTTTACCGTTTGTCGCTGCGATGTGTAGTTTTTGAGATCTGAAGGGGGGGCCGAATCGGCCCCCCCCCCCGCCAGTTTCTTGTCCCGGCGGAGCCCGCCAGGAATAGGGTTAAGGCTAAAAATTTCGTGACTTTTCCTTGCTATTCATTGGACACATCGTGTCAAATTTTTGAGTTTTTAGCTTGCGCAGAGGCGTCTCCAGGACGAGTTTCTCGGGGCAGTTTTGGCCCATGCAGCTTTGACTGTTTCTACATTTGCCGCTAAGCAGCGACTTACTTAGGTTTGTACCGGCGATCAGTGGCACCACCCGTCATATGTATGCACCTATAGACTATGTGACGTCATTTTACAATGAAAATATTGGAATAAGCGGATCCAGGTAGCTGAGAAAGGGGTAATATCAATGTACTGCCCCCGTCTTAGCGTGCCGGAATCCGTCTTGCTTAACGAAAACGTGTATTTTGTCCTCACGTTGCATATTTTGCATGATATGCACATCATGTCATAAGACACATGACAGGACAAATTCCAAAAAATCAAAATTCCAAAAATTCTGATTTTTTCAGGATTTCTAGTGGGCCAGGTGATCTACGTTCTGGTATGGGTCTCCCCTCCGCGGACCATCTGGTGCACGTGCCACGTGCACGTGCCACGAGGTGTGGCTAAAAAGAAACCGGACTGCTCGTGCTGGCCATAAACTAGGGGACCCGAAGACTAGCGAGACACTTGGCATTAATCTTTAGCATATTGTCGTGATGTGTGCCAAACGGCATCTCAATATCGCAATTATTCTCCTTTCCATAGCTCTTTGTTTTATCGATGTTCGGCGGCCTTGTCATCGCCAGGCTTCTACAATGAACTTCGAAAAAAGAGGGAACATCACGTTCCTTACCAGACTGGAGAAAAGTCCAACAGAGACGCTGAATCTGTTCAAGGCTGTTAATGGGGAGCAAGTCATGTGTAACATGCAAGTGTTTGAATGGCATACGAGGTTCAGCACTGGTCGTGAGGATGTCGGTGATGACCCTAAGGTCTGGAGGTCCATCAGCGTCCGCGCGCATGTCGAAGTCGATAGTGGAGATGACATTGATCGTCTTTTTCGATCATAGGGGATTCGTTCCCCGCCAGTTCGTGCCGGATGTGCACCACAGTCGACCAGCCACTTCTACAAGGAAGACCTGGGGCGCCTCATTTCACGAGTCAGGCGCACCAAGTGGAGTTTCTGGGAAGCCAAGAACCGGGTGCCCCATCACGACAACGCTCCCGCGCATTCTGCCATTAGCGTCCAGCAGTTCGTTGCCGAAATACAGGTCGCGGTGCTCAAGCACCCTCCTATTTGCCAAACCTCCCTCCCTGTGACTTTTGGCTGTTCCCTGAAATGAAAAACGTCGTCAAGGAAACCCATTTTGAATCAGTCGAGGACATCCAGACCGGAGTGACCAGCGTCAGCGTCATCAATAAAACAAAGAGCTGTGGAAAGGAGAATAATAGCGATATCGAGGTGCCGTATGGCAAACATCACGACAATATGATAAAGATTAATGTCCAGTATTTCGCTAGTTTTCGGGCCCCCTACTTTATGGTCAGCACGAGCAGTCCGTATACCATGACAAAAACTCAAAATAACATCCCAAGTTAGCTTACCTGAAACCGCCTATGATTTTTGAAATGTCCAAAATACCGGAATATATATGAAGGCCCAGTCCATGAAGAAAGGACCCCTGAAGTTTCATCAAAATCGGTCAGAAAGTAAAGAAGTTATCACATTTTTAGTGATGAGGTGAAAACGCCATTTTTTCCCGAAAATTTTTGCTTCAAGGACCCCCAATTTTGATTTTTTTTTTTACTTTTTATAGTCAATCTGAAAGTTCACGATGAGCGCAATCGAATGGCGTTTGTCCCATTAAGATCTGACATTTAGTTTTCGAGATATCAAGGGGGCGAATCGCCCCCCCCCCCCCCACCAGTTAAAGGGACTATCCCACCTTCTAAAATGTTGTTAAAACCAGTTAAATTGTGCCCGACTTTATAGATTGGATGACCAGGAACACGGTTCTGGCATTTATTTTTCATTTAACATCTTAGGCTTTCCATATTCTAAACACAAACTTTCAAATATGTGACGTCACAGCCCAAAATTACCTCCTTCCCCAGGCCATATTACTGTCATAAAGCTGATTCTTTTTACTCTGTAGGCACCACAACAAAGTTCAGACCAAGTTTTAAGCGATTTTTCAACGAACAAACCCATTTAAATAAGAATGACTAAACGAGGTGACGTCACACTAACGGTCGCTCCATGTTGAAGATAGGGCCTTGCACAAGGCCCATTTTCAAATGAAGGGAACGAATTTCTTCAACACCAAGAGGCCGCGGGGGTTGCAACTTAGATAGATAGTGGTTTCTGAACCTCGCCGCAAACTTGGCTATCTCAACTCAAACCCCAAAGGTGGGATAGTCCCTTTAACGTAGTCCAGAAAGCCCACCAGTAGGAATAGGGCTGGTTGCAGTGCTAAAGTTCAGTCGCTCAATATGTGCAATGTGCCTGTATCACGGAGGCAGTCCCGTCTCCAAGTGCTCAGGTCACATCGATTATCTGTGCCGTGTTGCCACCAACAGAGGCGCCGTCTGAGAGCTCCTGCGGACGTGCCGCTCTGTGGATGTATGTACTGACTGAAATCAATAATGTTAGAGTGGTGCTGCACCCTTTCCATGTCGAGCGGTAGCGTGTCCCTCGATCTGCCGCCCCTCCCGCTGAATGTCGTCATGAAATAACAATAGATTCTATTCATGTTATTCATTCGTTTACCCTACATGTACAGTCTGTCTTAAAAGTACCGCGCAAAGTAACGATGGATCCATCAAGCCTAACCCAGGAAGGGCCTGCTATAATTTGAAAGTCACCGAACCAATCGACCCGGGGAATGGACAATGATGTCCACTGCTTCGGTGACACAAATTTAGCAATCCTTCCTCAGTCAGGCTTGATTGATCCACCGGCACTTTGCGCGGTACTTTTAAGACAGACTGTACCTACATGAACATTCATGTGTTTTACCTATCTTGCACCAGTACAATCTAGCATACAACTGCCTTCCTCGGGTTTTGACGCTGGACACTGGACAGGTCAACAAATACCCTTATGCTCCTACACATTTGGGAAACTTTGATATAAATGTTTCTAAATAAGCCATGCTGCTGAACATCGCCACTGGTTAGGTATGTGCAGCATTCCATTGTGCAGGTGCCAGGCCATGGTTCACGTCGTGCCATCAGCCGCAGTTTTTGGGATGCTTTTTTTCGCGGGGCACTCACTATGTGTGTCTCCACGAGAAAATGATGTTTTTCACGTCCCAGGAAATGTCGCGATTGTGGACGGGTGTCCCTAATCTCAGGCATTCAGTAAACTGGAAATAACAGCTGAGCGTTGAGACGTTGCTATAGTTATTTCTGTCGAGCTAGCATGACAAATCTGTAGTGGAAGTATTTTTCATCCATACAGTTTTCTTTGGATGATTTTGGCTTCATCACGTTTAGAATGAAATCGAGAGCACGTGCAGTAGCACCTCAACCGTGACGCTTGCCGGGTCTCGGTTACTGGGTGGGTGCCCACTTACATGTCAAGTTTCAGCGCAATCGCCTCCGTAACTGCCAAGTTATTGTAATGGGAACACACCTGACACCGCTTCATTTTGCCGTCGCACATGTATTGGGTCACCCCCCCCCCCCATGCACCGAGAGTATAGCGATGCTTGTGGAAGAGATGCTCGTAAGCTACCAAAAATAGTCAATTAGCCTAGATGCATCAACAAGAGTATAGTCCATTGCGGAGTAGAAAAGGTGGGGCTACACTGTACACAACAAAAAAAGACCGTAGGTGAATCGGTTTAGCGGTTGCTGAGGCCTGAGATAAAGCCTCTCGAAAGCGTTACAGGCCGGGCCGGGCCGGGCCGGGCTGCTCATACTTAGATTTTGCCGTTATATTGAAAAGACTCGCTTCGCCCGCTCGCTTGTAATAACTAGACATGGAGATTGGAGTACTAATCGACCGGCATTACGTTGGCAGGCACCACCCTCCTGAAGAATCTCTCACCCCTGCGGTACAGCTTCCTGAGCTATCGCCAAACGCAGAGTCGATGGTGAAGCCACCGGCCCTGCCGCCAGCACCGGACGACGACACGGCGATGACCGTGGCCCTGTTTCGCTACATCGAAAACCCGGAGGCCTGCTGCCGAAAGCTAACCATGTTCGGCGGCACTCTGGCGGGCGGTAAGAAGATCGACGGCGACAAGTTTGTGTGTCTGGACGCGGAGCACGCGCCGCCACCGGGGGCCTGTCTCGTCTACTCGGTGGGAATCTCGAACGAGTGGAGCTTCGACCGGCAGATGACCAGCTACGGCTGCGAGCTGCACTGCTTCGACCCGTCCATGAAGTCGTACAACCGAAACGTGACCGAGTTCGGCGCGCGGTTCTACAAGATCGGCCTGAGCGGCCGGACCGAGGTGCGGCCGAACGGCTGGCATATGATGACGCTGACGGACATCAGGCAGAAGCTGGGCCACTCGGAGCGCGACATCCACTACCTGAAGGTGGACATCGAGGGCAGCGAGTGGTCCTGGCTGGAGAACGACCCGCAGAGTCTGCGCGGCGTCCACCAGCTGGGCATGGAGGTGCACATGACACTCAAACCGGCCAGCCTGCGCAGACACTACGCCGTCTTCAGGGCCATCCAGCAGGAGGGATTCGCGCTGGTGCACGTCAACGCCAACCGGGTGTACGGCCGGCAGTCCAAGCTGCCGGGCGTACAGGACAAGGTCAGCAGCCTCTACGAACTGGTGTGGGTGAGGGTCAAGTGAGGTCGCCGCTCGGTCGGCGCTTGGCCCGGTACAAGGTCGATCGGATGGCGAGTGTGATTTTGTGGTTGTAGGTAAAACAGCGTATGATGTACGGACATGATGTTGCATAGGTATATGTGATGTGCATGGTTTACGGGACGTGATGTGCGTGGTGGTTGTGATGCATGATTGTTATGTTAGGACTTTTTTTCGACAGAGGGTTCTCAAATGCATCAAGATGTCGAACGCAGCTTTGGAGGTTAGAATCGATCATTATTGGCATTCATTAACTTCATTCGACATTCGTACATCAGTTCAAAACTGCTGCGCTTTTTTGCCGTGGCATGATTGACGCTGCCACACTGCTTAGCTCCTGCTCACTGCTCAGTAGCCCAGGTGTAGGTAGAAAGTCTCCGAGGAACACACAGTGGCGTTATCGGTCATTGTTTTAGTCAATATTTGCTCGCTGTTTTATTTGCTGATAACTAACTTAAGTCAGTTAAATGCCCATCGTTAAACATTAAGGCTACAAGCTGTTGTTTTGAATTGAACTTTTTATGTGTGCTTTTTATTGGATAGGATGTGTGAACATATAATCGTTTACAAAACTTAATTTATCAAAATGTAATACGCGACATGCAATGCAATGAGCATCAATAAACATAAATGTCCGCCTGATAGGTCTCCGCTTGTTTTGGTATTTCTGTCTAATGTTGTGCGTATTATAGCATCAATTAATTAATGTATTGAATTGAATTATTTAAAGTATCGTTAACGATAGGGACTGAGCTTGAGCAGCTTAAATTCATAAAAGGACATTTGCAGTTTTTTAGAGGAAATAGGGTGCCTAGTGCCTACTGCCTATTGCAGTGCCACTTTGTCCAATTAACGTTTAGGTACGTGGTATGCAAGAGGCATCGAAGGAGATTTTTTCATTTAAACCGCGACCACCTGGGGGAGGGGGTCGGAACCGACCCCCTCCGTTTTTCTTGAATAACTCGTGAACCGTTTCAGCTATTAACTTGAAACCTTGTATATCTTCCTCCCCATCAATTTTACGCCTTGTGTACAACTTTTGGTCATTTTTCAAAAAGTGTTTAAGTTTTATCCAATTCACTGACGTGACTACATGGTATTTTTAGTCAAAAAATAATAAATGTTTAAAAATCGCCAAGAATCAAGGTTAAAAGCAAAATGGAAATTGAAGGGAGGCCAATAGATGCAGCTTGACGAGATCTTTAAAATGGCTATCTCGTATTCCCCATAAAATGCGCTTTTTACCCCTAAAATTCATAAAACTTTTTTTGGAAACAGCTACTTAAATCCAAAATTCCAACATCTTCAAAAAAAAAAACGGAATATATGTTATAGAGCACTATAAGTCATAAGAACATTTGATGTCTCAAATTTCAACCTTCTATCCTGTTTTTTGACCCCCAAATTGTAAAAAATAGCTACAACATGTTTAAGGCATTGTGACGTCATAAGTAACTTCGTGAGTTTTATTAGGCACTTCTGACCATCGCATGTCAAAACAAATTGCAGCATTAGATTCCTACAAAGCTCGTCTAGATAAATGCATTTTTATGTTAAAAAACTAAAATCGGACTTTTTTCTTTTCCCTGACTTGACGATGTATAGAAGGAATCTTGATGTATAGTACCCATTAACCCTCGCCCGCACATGGGGGGGGGGGTGGTTGCCACCCCCCCAGGCAGTCTTTCTGCTCTGCACTCAACATTTTTTAGAGCTAGAAGGCTGATTTTTCGTATAGCTGCTCGTCTATCCTTTCTTGATGTCCACTGAAAATTTCAAGTTTCTGTGATTTTTGGTTTCGGAGATATGACCTTGTTTTTCAGGTCATGTCATGACCCAAATGGCCAATTCTCAACATCTTGCGTTTGCCATGGGCCTTGTGAGCTTTTGACACCCTGATTTCGGCCTTTTTTGCCAGTCTTACCTCCCACCTATCATGGAACATGTTGTTCGACGATGTACAGGGGTCAAGGTCAGGGTCAAGGTCAACCTAGGTCATCTAAGATAATTGCGTTTTAGGCAAGCTGAATTTATTTTTTGTGAAGTTTTTTGACTGCATTTTTGGTAAAAGCTTCTCAGATCATGATTTCATGTGATATGGACCCAAAAACAATCGGTGCACACATCAGTATACACACAGATACACACAGACATACAAACACATATAATTGACCTTGACCTAACTTGACCTGAAATGACCTCAGCAGCAAAATTCTGGTCGGATAGTGTGACAAAGAGGTTCTAGCTGGCTTGGCACCAGAAAACAGCATCGTCATCGGTATTTGATAAGCAGCGCACTTGATATCCAACGGTGACCCAAAACAGCAACATTTTTTAGTTTGACCTGACCTGGAAGGTCAATGACTGACCTGAGAAGGTAAAACTGGGTATCATTGGATTCGTCTCTTCCCAAAGAATCTTTTTGGTCTTTACTGCTAAGCTCTATCTCCAACAGGAACGAAATGGCGCGGGGGGGGGGTGGCAACCACCCCCCCCATGTGCGTTCTAGGATGGGAAAATGGCATGTGCGGGCGAGGGTTAACGAATTTTTATGCTTTCAATACACAGGATAGTGACTTTAGGTCACATATAACCATGACCATCGAATTCGTCGTGAAAAATAACCCATAAAACATGTGTCGCATGATAAATTTTCTGCATCGGCAATAGCCTTTTCTAAAAAAGAATGTTTTGATGTGAGGATAGCCCCTATATTCGACGGAGCTAAATGAAGCGAGATTTTGTCTTGCATTCAACCTTAATACAGCATATTTGAGCGTTTGGCAAATTCAGTGGTGTCGATTTTTTTCTTTTTTGGCGATCGTTGAAAAGTTATCACTTCAAATAACCGTGCTCCAATCTCCAATCTGATGCTGAACTGGCTTCAAACACGAAAAGAAGGCACACACTTTCTGCCATATTGTTGATAACAACATCATTCGGTTTATACATGCTATGTACACACCGATACATCCATGTGTATATTGGTGCGAAGGCATGCTGCATTCACTCACTTCCGCGATGACACGCAGCACTACGATGATTAGGTGGTTAGGCTGACCCCCTCGTCACGGTCGCATTTACCGGAAATGGAGTGACAGAGCAGCAGTGGTGCTCTGTGGTGCCGCACCACTACACCACTGCACCACGGATCGCCAGGTGGAATGACCCAGCGGTTATCGGATCTCCCGAGACTGCAGATTACCGGAACTGGAGGCTTTCCGCCCGCGCCGGCCGTCGGTATACTACATAAGGCGGGACATATGCGCCAATTCAATAACATAAATGATCGCATAAATAAATGCTTGCACATTAACATAGATCGTGCGAAATAACTATGTGTCTTCATTTAAAACACTTCTCAAAACAAGTTATAAATGTATATATATACCATTACCTATATTTCTAAATCATTATCATAATGTCGATAAAAGGGAGGCGTTTCGTTGCATGGCACCGAGGTACCTTTCCTTGCGGATATTGTTACAACTAAAAGTGAAGTAATACCACCCACTGCTCTTAGTTAAAACTTACACCGCAGTCTGAATGCTTGCAAATAGCGCGCAATGACATTGATCTGCCATTCTCATAAAGCATCTTCGTCAAAGTAAAGTTGTTGAAGGGGCATACCTACTGTTGTGTTACAATTTGTCTCAGTCTTCCCGCAAAACCTCCACGACAGCGTGCGCCGTGCGCACCGCTCACTTGTGTCCGTGTCATACCATGATAATGGTGCCGTTGCGAAATCTTCGCAAACGGCTCGTGTTCCGGTAAGCGTTATGTGATAAAACCTTTATATCAAGCAGACATTGCTGAGCTGTTTAATGACCGGCTCTGCCTCTGATAGGGGGTAGCAGTTGGGCTGAACATATGGTGCGGATGTCGGCGATAACGGCAGCGTCATGCCTCACGAGTGAAGTCATCTCTCGGACTGCAGGCGCCGCTCCGGTGTTGACACACCTCAGAGCCGGACAATGGACATGTCATATATGTAGAGCAGCCACTGTGCACCCTCTGTACCTACACTGAAAACAAATCGACACAGTGAGGGCATGTTCTGTACTGGTAACACATCAGGCATGTGTTAATCGCACCCAAAACACAATAATGCTGAGTATTTTCACGCTGGGCGGGACCTTCGACACGTTTGATAACACATAAAACAGAAAAACGACACAGTTTTCTCGTGCCAAGCACGCTGGACGAATGTAATGCATCAGTGTATCGAAATCATGTGTTGTCGGGGATGGTAGACGTGTACCCTTGCACAAATACACCGTGTCATCCACCAGTGAGCGACCTCTGAACCTTAACTTCAGATGGGGATAATAGAGGGCGTTTTTCGAGCACCGACTTTTATGCTGGGTTTTTGTAAAAATTTGCCAAAGAGTTTCGAGAAAGGTCAAAATGCACAATACAGCCGAGGGAGTCGATACATGATAAATTGTTTAGAGCAATATGCGCTGATTACATCTAGGGCAAGCTGAAGCATAGCTAATTAACGTCTGCTTGGAGGAAGAAACTCCTCAGTCTATATAGGATATATTTGAAAAATCGGTGGCCGTAAGTTCACCGTTCCGTGATTCTATCCTCAGGATACTGATATCCTTCTCCTCCACGCCGCAATCCCCTCCGGGCTGGACAGGCAACTTTATTTCATGCGGGCTGCTCCCTTGGAGCGGCACCGCTGCTCCCGAGGGAGCGCACCCCGTAGCCGGGTGCAGTGAGTGCCTTGGGGCTGGGTGGCCTGTCCTCTGGACGGGCTCAGCCCCGGCGACTCACTAGGGTGCCTGCCCTGACCAATGTCTCCCCCTAAATCCTATCATCCTTCCGGCTCTGCAATGGTCTTGTCGACCGAAAGGGCCTAACCCAACAAAACAAACAAAAAGGCCGTAAGTTTATCCCGGATGTTTGGACAACTGTATTGTACAGTAGTCCTCCAATTTGGGGCATCGTCACTTGGCGCTCTGATTGAGCCGTCCACGTGACGCGTTCACCCTTCGGCTGTGAAGTGGCCGACCGGGCGCAACTCAGGCTCGCGTATGGGTCGGCCGGCCGCGTGCTCAGCCCTGACCGCGCCCTGACCATATGGGTCGGCCGGCCGGGTGCTCAGCCCTGACCGCACCCGAGCGCCCGATTCCACTCGGGGCCCGGCTTTGGCAGTCAGCCTGTCCAGCCCAAGCCAAAGTCCCTTCAACTGCGCCCCGGCAACAAACTACATAATCACCACGTGTTTCCTTCTTTCACTTGCGATTTGTGTTAAATTTAGTAACACATTTACCTTTTATTCTGCAAATGTATTCACACAAGCCTTATGTGTTGAAGACACAATGATATTGTGTTTAAGGACACAACACGACTGGGTTAACACATTTGTAAATTGACACGTCTGCGACGGGTCAAAAAATGCATGATGCAGGGTACACAAGAAAACCAAGTAAACACGATCTGCCTGTGCGTTTTTAGTCGTTTTTTGTGTCATTTTGTTTTCAGTGTAGATTCCATTATAGGTATCGGCATCACTCCGCTCCGAAATAATGCGTGTGGCCGGGTGGCCGACACAAAGGCTCGCTGAGATGATTTTATCACGTGTTACGATGTAGATATGTGAGCTCATCTTTTACATATGAAGGCCAACGCCCAACACCTATAGCTCGCGGAACCACCAGGCCAGGATGTATGACTCAATGAACAGTTTCTTCGATTGTATATATTCGAGTGAATGACAACCATTATACAATATTAACCTTCCAGGCGGTGGGGGGGGGGATTTTTTTGCCCCCTTTAGTTTTTTCGATATATCTCGAGAAACGCTGCGCCGATCGTCACCAAACTTTCAGTACCCTCCCGGGAGTAGCTAGCGCACATGGTGACCAAAACTTTTTCCAAAGGCTATGATAGGTTGGCCGCTAATGACGTCAGAGTGACGTCATTTCTGCCATTTTCGACCCAAAAAAAGGTTTCGCAGGAAGAGCTGTCAGGCCTACAGCTTTAGATACAGAAAAATGTTTCAGACACACCTGCACTCTGATGAGTGGCACACATTTGTTATTTACGAGTACAGTTCACAGCATTGGCACATCATTGCTGATGCTGGGCAGTGGACTTCCTCATAAGTGTATCAACACAAAGATAAGATGCACTGCGTGTACACAAGTGCAGAGTCTGCAGACAATATGGCATTTTTAGCAGCGGCACGGCGACCCATGTGCCTCAGCCATAGCTACCAAATGCGGCGCAGCTTCTTGGTGAAATTGGTTCCGCACTGCTCCCGTCGGTGGCAAGCCGAGTCGATACCTACCGTTAGAAGATAAGATTGACAATGGAGAACGTTACGATAGATACGCTCATGAACACATGCAATGCAACGACGATTATCTCCCGTCTATCGAACCAAACAACGATAGTGCACCAGTCAGTTATGAGGCTCTAGTCTAAAGCTTTAGTGTCGCTGAAAACGGAGATGCTTTGAACACAATGGGACTAAATATGATAATACACTGTGATCGATATGGATTGTGACTTCAACAACAGTGCCTGCAATCATCACCATTCTTGTTTAGCATAGCTACGATACCATTATGTTGTCAATGCCAGACCGCTGCACTGTGGCCCCACAGTCCGGGGAAGTCCATTCGTATCCAGTGCGGGACCGCAGCGATAAATGTGCTGATTAGGGCCGTCTTATTAATGACATGTTAGATACCCTTGCAGCCTGCACCTGGAATTAGGATCCGTATTATGTCTGTGTTACCGTTAAGGGACGCTGTGTTACCGTCAGGGACGTCGACTGACACACCACGTCACCACGATGCGCGTGGCGTATGCACGGGGGGGGGGAGGGGGACGTTCATTCAGCGAGCTGATTTGTGTCGTAACAGTTTGTAGATCATCAAATACGAGTACCTACCCTTACGAGATACGACTCACGTAAGCGGAGGTGTCACTTCACGAACACGAGCCTTCCATTCGGAGGCATATAAACGCTGTATTTGTTCTGTAACCATAATCCTAGTACCGTAAACGGGGGTGACTTTGCCATGTTTTCAACTTTAGACGCTTGTATTCTTTAAACTTGTTAACTTATTGGGATGACTCTATGTTCACAACACGGATGAAGATTAGCTCTTTGGGTTTTGCTATTATTGTATTTATAGGTTGCCTAAAAATATAAATTTTTAAGGAAAATTAGTCGTGGCAAAGTTAAACTGAAAAAGGGGTGACTTTGCCACTATGCCAAATAATGTTTTTTTTTAACGCTAACAAATACTTTTCAAGCATTTTTGTTCCATTGTATGGGGCAGGGCAACCATCCTTAATTGTTTACTAGGAAAAAATAAAGCAATTCGAGGTTTTTTGCTCTTACACGATGTACAAAAAGGAAAGATACCTTACTTTTTATAATACATTATATTTGTTGAAAATAATTGAGATTTGATAGTAGGTAAATAGAAACTGAAAAATGGTTCAGAATAGATAAATAAGCAAAGATATTATTGTATCGGTACTCTAGGACCTTGCCGCTTTTTTCCAGGGGCATTAAGAGGAACAGAAAGAGGACGTTCTTGCGGGAACTTACGGACACCCTTATTATCAGCGTTTTGATCTATCAAATGATACAGATTTCTTCAGCCAGTCTTACTGGCGAACTCAGGAGTTGTAGGTGATCATGGCTGTGCTGAAAAGTTGGGCCCAGCTTTATCCATTTTTTTTTTGGTAATTTTTGCCTTTCTATACTCCCACTGTGCATTCCTGTGTTAATTTTCAACATATAAACATTTTCTTTTTAAAAACCAGTTTGGAGATCAAAATGATGCCACATTTAAAACTTATTTTGAATTGCATCGGATAAGTATTTCATTTTTGCACTGATAACATGGTGGCAAAGTCACCCCATGTGGCCTGCAATGCACTTGGAAGAATCGCCACCCAAAATTTTAGCTAAATGAAGTGACAAATGCCAGTTTTGTTGGATATGCTAACTTAGCAGCCTTGTCATGATCAACCATACCAAGTTTCAGTATCGCAGTTGGTCTAGAACATGGTTAGATAATAAAAAGTTTGGACCTCTTCAAATTTGACCATTTCAATGACTCCGATAAAATGGAGCCCAGTTAGGTATTTAGTGGTAACTTATCTCTCAGTGTTGGTTATGTTGGAAGGCCCATCAATTATCTTTCATTTGTGTATAAAAAAGCATTACATTCTTCGAAAAATATCACTGGATATCACCCTAAAGCATTTTTTGAGAAGCATGGCAAAGTCACCCAGCAAGGCAAAGTCACCCCCGTTTAGGTACGGTACGCGTTGTGTTCGGTAGACGGTACCTCCAATAAATTTCCATTAAATTACCAACCAAAGAAATGTGATTCCCGAACCATTTAATTGCATATTCCAAATATAATGCTTAGGAAGCATTGCTTCCTATGCACTCCATAATTCACAAGCTTATATGTTTTAGGTACAATGAAAATGTTAGATAATAAACGCTTACCGCAGGCTATTTGAAGTAGACAAAAGCTGTTCGTTAGAGTTGTGTTTTTTATTGAAAAGCAGCCGGAGCATTTCTGGGTTGCGGGGTGTTTAACATAGTTGGCCTAGATAGTAGGTATCCATTGAATATTTATTTGACACATACGGTATTGAGTATTGACATTGTTATCGGTTAAAGACCTTACCTGCGTTGTTGATATCGGCCACCCGAGCATGGCAATAGAATGTTCCGCTCGCCACTGAAGCCTAGCCCAGGCTTTCTGGGACTGGCAGACGGATGTCACTTGACTGCCTCCTGAAAAGCCCAAGAATAAGTACCTATAACATCAGCCAGTAGTCTTCAGGCCATGCATTCTGCAGCGACCGCTGGTGGCCGTGTGAGCTGTGATCGACCGCGCTCCAAGGAATGTGGTATATGTAGGTAGGTAGGTAGTTGTACGTACCATACTGTTCTAGCTCAATGTGCATGCTTTGGTGGCAGGTGGAGCCTGCGCTAACCAGACGGTTAACGACTCACATCAGGTAGTTAGCATACATACGACGCATATGTTTTGTACCGGCGGACGATAGGTATGACCAAGGCCCTAAAACATAGGTATGTCTACCTACTCGGCAGAAATTAGGGCTAGGCAGAAATTTTGGTAGATCCTTAGTGATGATCGGCATAATTACGTGTGCCTATTGCCTAGCCTAGCATAGCAGCCGCCTTACATAGTTTTGATTGCATAGAGACAATATCGTGTTTTGTCATGCGTACCTACCTAACGAGTAACGACCCAGTAAACATGCCGACGTCGGCCCAAAGTCGGCCCAACGTCGGTTCCACCTCGGCCCGACATCGGCTGGACGTCGGGTACGTCCGCATATACCGATGTCCAGCCGACGTCGGGCCGACGTCAGGCCGAGATCGTTTGCCGAGAGGTTGAGCCGAGATGACGTCCGGCCGACGTCGGCCCGACATCTCCTCGCCATCCATCAACCCGAGGTACAGCCGACGTCGGACCGACGCCCAGCCGGTGCACAGCCGACGTCCCCTCGCTCTCAACCCAATGTTCCTACGCTACCAGCTCGACGTTCAGCCGATGTTCAGCCGACGTCCCTCCGCTATGATTAGCACTAGTGCTAATAAAAGCCATGTACAATCTTAATATTAAGACATGGAGTAAGTTACCACCCCGCTTCCTTCATGTCATTCATATAAACTATTTAATTTGCATAGAACTTGATGGTTTTCGGACCGAGAATCTCAGACTATATTCATTGCCAGGTGAGGAGTTACTGCTTCAAGTAGCAGCCGTGCGGCGTCCTGTGGTGAACACGACCAATGTACGACACGGTGACGAGTCTAAATATCATTGTCAGTAGCGGTGGAACACCTTCAATTAAGGGGGGGGGGGACTTTGCCGACTTCTGGCGCCATCTTTCCATGCAACGCCCATAGGGCTAATGGCAAAATCAAGGAGGCACGGTGTCCCGTTGCCCCCCCCCCCCCCCCCGCTCCGCCGCCTATGATTATTGTAACCTATTCACACACCCGACACTATTCATGCTCTTTTGCCTTATCTCTAAAGTCTAAACATCACCAGCTATTCGTAAAAACAGGTCCCGACCAGGGGCGCGCCGTGCGGAAACTACTTTCAGACTGTGGGGCACACCATAATAGAAATCAGCCTATAGGGTACCGACCCCAAAATCTAGTTTTCTCATCGGTTTTAGGCCACTTTTTTCATCACTTTGTTTTTTCAACAAAAAAGAAAAAAATTGACAAAAAAAGTGCGGTGTTCCGTCTCAAAGTTGAGGGGGCACCGCCTCCACGGCCCCAGAGTTGTGGGGCAAGCTGCCCCCCACTGCCCCCCCCCCCCCAGCTCCCGCGCCTATGGTCCCGATTTTAGGTGTTGGACATCAGCGCCATCTCTCGGTGACATCTTAAGGCTGGACTTCGGCTTACCGATATTATCCTTCGATACGGCGCACACAAAGCTCAACTTCGGCAAACGATCTCGGCCCGACGTGTCGGCTGGACCTCGGCTGGACGTCACTTACTTGCGGACGCACAGGTCTCGCGAGATTAAGCGGTAGGTTTTGCACTTTTACATTTCCGGTTATATCTCAGAAACTAATCGATCTACGATGAAGCCATTTTACACGATCATGGCCGGCTTGTTACCCAACAAGTCGATCGCATCTTCAACACTTAAAAGCTTAAGACGACGAAGATATAGCCTGAAGTAGGGGAGAGTGGGGAAAGATGCCCAGGGTTTGACTATGTCATATATTATTCGAAAATGACGATCGGAAAGCCAAAACTTGGAGTTTCAACGGAAGCCGACATCATTTTTCTCCAAAAATATCACACTTTCGTGCCTGATATATGATAACTTTTTTTTGCTATTAAGCATTTTCCTGAAGAAGTGAAAGGGGGCATCTTACCCCACAGGGTGGAAAAGACGCCCCCTGGCGTTGGGTAAGATGCCCCCTGCACGATAAGTGACATAAATAGGCACGTGAATCGCCTGAACGAATCAGTAGTCCCTTCGAGCCTGCAGTAGACACCAAACGTCATCGTAAGGGCCCTCAAAAGTAGTCGTAAGGGGCTTCAGAGGTCATCGTTAGGGCCATCATAGTCCAGCGTGGCCAAACAAGCCTCCGTGGTGGCGTTCGGAGACCACTGTGGGGCCCTTATAGGTCTTCATGATGCTTGAGGGCCCTCGAGCCCATCGTGGGGACCTCAGATGCCAGCGCGGCCCGTGGAGCCAACGTGGGAGCCCTCAAAGGATGTCGTGAGGGGCCCTGGAACCAATAATGGGGCCCACAGAGGCCGTCGTGAGGGCTCTCAGAGTCAGATGCCGCCCAAAAAGTCGCTGTGTGGGCCGAGAGACCGGCATGGGGAGCACCCCACCGTACCGGACTCTCAATAGTCCCAGATCGGCTTTTGTCTCTCATCACAAGTAGGGTAATAAATGATTTGACGGGCTGCTTGAAGGACAGCCTACGGATTTAGGGGGGCGTCTTTCTCCATCAGGACAGGGGGCATCTTACCCCAAGGTACCGAAGTAACATTAAATCAGCACAATTTGTTAGCCATAAAACTACACCCTGAAACAAACTGTTTGGGACACAGTACACGCATGTTAATGTATCATAGGCGTAGGAACAGGGGGGCCAGGTGGGCAAGTGCCCACCCACTTTTCGAGGTGGGGGGGCCAACCATGTGTTTTGGCCCACCCACTTTTTACTCGAGGCCCCTCGTCTCGATTTGAGAGGACCATCCAGAATAAACAAATTCGGTAAAAATAAGTTCCACGAATCCCCACGCACGGACTCCAAGGGGCCGTGATGGATCCAAGAAGGCCCTCTGTTCATACTTGTCAGTCGAAGCTCCTGAGACTGATGGCCTGAGAGGCCCTAGTGGATCTGAGGAGGCCCCAATATCCACACTGGTCTGGGGAGGCCCCTGACACTGGCGGTCTGGGAGGCCCCTCTATCCACATTAGTCAAAGGTCTGAGACTGGTGGTCTGGGAGGCCCCTCCATCCACACTAGTCAGAATAGGCCCCTGAGTCCTGACACTGGCGGTCTAGCCGAGGCCCCCTACCCTCACTAGTCAGAGGAGGCCCCTCTATCCTCAACAGTCAGAAGAGGCCCCTGAGACAGGAGACTGATGGTCTGGGAAGTGGGAGGCCTATCCATCTACACTGTAGTCAGAGGAGGCCCCTGAGACTGATGACCTGAGAGGCCCTTATATAATCACACCAGGCAGAAGAGGCCCATGAGACTGATGGACTGAGAGGCCCTTCTATTCATACTGGCCACAGGAGACCCCCAAAACTTTCGGTCTGGGAGGTCCCTCAATCCGGCACCAGTCAGAAGAGTCCCCTGAGACTGATGGCCTGGAAAGCCCTTATATTCACACTAGGCAGAGGAGGCCCCTGAGACTGATGGTATGAGAGGCCCTCATATTCACACCAGTCAGAAGAGGCCCTGATGCTGATGGCTGTGAGGCCCTTCTGTTCATATAACTGGCCACTGGAGGCCCCTGAAACCGGTGGTCTGGGAGGGCCCTCTATCCACACTAGTCAGAAGAGGCCCCTGAGACCGATGGTCTGAGAGGCTCTTATATTCATACTGGCCACAAGAGGCCCCTGAGACTGATAGTCAGAGAGGTCCACTCCTAATGAATCTGAGGGGGCCCTCTATCCACATTTACACTTTTCTAAGGAGGCCCCCGAGACTGATGGTCTGAGAGGCCCTCTTATTTATACTGTCGACAGGAGCCCCCTGAGATTAATGGTCTGAGAGGCTCTTCCATTTATACTTACCAGAGGAGGCCCCTAGGATTGATGGTCTAACAGGCCCTTCTATTTATACTAGCCAGAGGAGGCCCATGAGACTGATGGTCTGAGAGGCCCTTCTATTCAAACTAGGCAGATGAGGCCCCTGAGAATGATAGTCCGAAGAGCTATGCTTCGGCAACTGGCCGTGGCCATATTTCGGTTCGGTAGGGCCCCACAGAGCTCATGAGAGCACCTCAAGGGCTCCTAAGTAGACACGCTTATCCCCATAAGGGTGCCACGCCGGCTTCTGAAGGCTCCTTGTAGGCATTCTAAGGGCCCTTTCCGGCCTCTGACGGCTCCACCCGCCTGTGATGGCTCCACACCAGTGTTTACGAGCGCCACACAGCGGCGCCTTTGAGGGTCATACTAGTGTCTCTTAGGGCCCTATATCGGTGGCTCTGGGGGCCCCACACCGGCGCCTCTGTGGGCCACCACACCTTTGCATCTCAAGGCTCTATAGATACATCTGAAGGACCCGCACTGACACCTCTGAGGGCCCCATACCAGTATCTCGGAGCTCTGAAGGCCCCACACCGGTGACTCTGAGGACTCACCGGCTCCTGAGAGCACCATGTTGATGTCTAACGGCTCCACAAGGCCACTGAAGGCACCACACAAGCTCTCACTGAGCTCTAATGTCCATGTACCGGTCTCTGAGGATTTAAGCCAGCGCATTCATAGCTCCACACCAGCAATTGTAAGGGCTTCACACTCAGGTATCGAGGGTTCCACACCGGTGTCTCTAAGGGCCACATACCGGCATCTCTGAGGGCCCCATACCGGCGTCTCCGAGGGTCCACATCTGGCGGGCACCCATCAGCGACTGAAGGTCCCACACTGTCGACTCCGAGAGCCCCATCTGCGTCTAGGAGCACCATGCCGTCTCTAAGAACCACAGCAGCTCCTCCGTACGAAAGATGGGCGTCTGCATGCCAAAGGGGAGCGGTTCTGAGACAGCAGGGCACCTACATGCAATAGAGGGGCGCCTATGAAGCCCATAGGGGCGCTCAATGCGAAAAGGGGGCGCCTCTGAGGCCTAAATATATGGGCGTCCACATGCAATAGAGGTGGGACATATAGGGATGTCTCTGATGACTATACATAGGGCGCTTATATGCCAAAGAGGGCGCCTGTGAAGCTAATGGGGGCACCTGGGAAACGAGGAAGACATTTGTGTAAGGGTTTTCAGGGGTCATGCGCGGTTTGCGGCAAATAGATTCTAAAAAGAATCGGAGGAAGAATAAGTTTTAAAAATGTTGCGGACTTTCCGCACTGTTCTGGGTACAGTACATCTGCCCGATCTCAGAAGCTAGATTTGGAGGTCATACTTGAAAGCAGCCAGCAGGACGAGGCAAAAGTTGGAGGCCCCTGAAAATAGGAGGCCCCCTGGAAAAGGAGGCCCCTTGACAGGGTGGCCCACCCACTTTTCATGACGTTCCTACGCCCGTGTAATGTATCACGACTATAGCAAGGGACGCAAAAATTATCTACCGTCTTTGATATTTACAATGTTTTGACGCCAAAATATTTTTTGAAAGCAGCAAATAAAAAGCATGCAATCACCAGCCAGCCGCTGCCCAACTGAGCCTCGCAAATTTTTGTGCAGTTAACAAGGCAGGCTTCCACTTTACGCTAATAACATTAATTTCCAGGTTCGATTCTTTGTTTCCCCGCTAGAGGGGGTGGGGCGTCTTTCTCACCCTGGGCATCTTACCCCACTCTCCCCTACACTAAATTTTCTAGGTGCAAAACCTACCGCTAAAACCCGCGAGACCTGTACCTACCCGACGTCCAGCCGACGCCGTGCCGAGGTTAGACCGACGTCGGCATGCTGATGCCGAGATGCCGACGTCACCCCGATGTTTGCTTTGCCGATGCCGGGCCGACGTCAGCACGGAGTGCACTAACAAACCAGTCGAGGTTTTGTTGGTGCACGGAGTGCACTAACAAACCTGTTAGAAACGCTTTCATCCTCAACACGTGCTCCAATGGAAAAACGATCTTCAGTCATATACCTACTAATGTTTACTGGGGACGTCTGACCGGGGCCCTGTTTCACCGGTGATAGCAGCAAGCTGCTATCACGTTTCGCGAGCTGACGTCATGTCGTGACGCCATACTGTTGTCGTAATGGGTAGTTCCGGCGCACGATTGCCGCGACCTTGGCGGCGGCATTAAGTGACGTATGAGCCTAAAAGTAAGAGTTTACGCAGTCATGATAGTATATATATTTTTAATATATATTTTTTCAATATGATGTATTTAAAAGAATTTTTTATGTGGGCGAGGATGGATGACATGATTATTATTAATATAACGAGGCTTGAAATGATCTCACGCATGTCAAAGTGTTCCATCCAAAGTGTTCCATCCATCCATAGTCATCCATAGTCTGACGCTTGTCAATTTCCGTGGCGTTCCCTTCACCAATTTGACAGATCTCCTTTTGATGGTCAAATTGGCGCAAAAGATACAAAATATAAAGCCAAACAAACTGGATGGTGTCGCTGCCTGGGCCCTGTTTCACCGGTGATAGCAGCACGCTGCTCTCAAATTGCGCGAGCTGACGTAATGTGATGACGTTATACTGCTGACGTAAGGGGCAATTCTGGCGCACGATTGCCGCAATATTGTTTGACGTCATGAACTAAATGTTCGAGGTTAACGTCCAATTTTATTCTAAATCTTACTTGTTTTAAATACATATCTATAGTACTATTCTGCCTGCGTCAACTCTTACTTTAAGGCTAATTACGTCACTTAATGTCGCGGCCAAGGTCGCGGCGATCGTACGCCAGAACTACCCATTACGTCAACAGAGCCCTGATCGGCGGCCAGCTAGTACTCTTGCCCGCGCTCACATACGTGCACGTTACCCCGGCAACGGGCTATTGACCAATGAGAAGCGAGAAAAGTGTTACGTCACTGCGATTTTTCATATACCTGTGCCCCCCGGACGTGACGTAGTGTGCTCGCGCGCGTGCAGGGTCTCTGCGATCGAAAAAGAGCGCTAGCAGCGCGCCACTCGACGCCGCAATTGTCAAAAGTCAAAAGTTAGTATGCTTTATTATGAATGATGTGTGTAAAAGTGAGTTTTTATGTTGTTTATTTGGAGGAAATGGTTGGAATAAATTAAGTTATTTTTATTTCTGTTGGTTGGAGTTTTTATTCAAAAGATTTCGGTCTATACCATTGATATTTACTGAAAATACCTTCGCTTGAATAAATTGCAGATATTTGGCAACTGAAGTGTTAGGTAAGCCTAAATGATATGTAAAAAGGTAAGAGACACCCTGATTATCATTTGAGAAACGAAAATATATGAATTTTCCTTATAAGACTCGCTCCATATGCTACTCCGCAGTTTATGCCCCGAGGGTGTCCCGAGGGTTCCCGTTAGTTTGTCGTTGGCGCTCGGGGCCCTGTTTCACCGGTGATAGCAGCAAGCTGCTATCACGTTTCGCGAGCTGACGTCATGTCGTGACGCCATACTGTTGTCGTAATGGGTAGTTCCGGCGCACGATTGCCGCGACCTTGGCGGCGGCATTAAGTGACGTATGAGCCTAAAAGTAAGAGTTTACGCAGTCATGATAGTATATATATTTTTGATATATATTTTTTCAATATGATGTATTTAAAAGAAGTTGGGTTTAGGAAAAATTTAGACATTAACTTCGAACATTTAGCTGATGACGTAAAACAATATTGCGGCAATCGTGCGCCAGAATTGCCCCTTACGTCAGCAGTATGACGTCATCACATTACGTCAGCTCGCGCAATTTGATAGTAGCTTGCTGCTATCACCGGTGAAACAGGGCCCGGGGCCCTGTTTCACCGGTGATAGCAGCAAGCTGCTATCACGTTTCGCGAGCTGACGTCATGTCGTGACGCCATACTGTTGTCGTAATGGGTAGTTCCGGCGCACGATTGCCGCGACCTTGGCCCTGTTTCACCGGTGATAGCAGCAAGCTACTATCAAATTGCGCGAGCTGACGTAATGTGATGACGTCATACTGCTGACGTAAGGGGCAATTCTGGCGCACGATTGCCGCTGTCGTACTGCGCTGTGGGTAGCGCTTGGCTGGACGGACGGTCTGTGACAACCTATTGATCTGTGGCTGATCTATTAGAGTGTCCGTCCGAGAGCCGTACGACGACTGACAGAGCCTGGGGGTCGCGAACTGGTGTGGTAACCGTTACGCCCACCTGGGACGCCCGAGTCGGTACGGCACTTGCGGTGTCGTAACCGGATCGGCGGGAACCAGCAGAACGCTGTTGGACCGGCGGTGAAAGTCGGAACCGAGCACTCGCCCACCAGTGGGGCGTCTGGTCGAGCAGGTCTACCCGCTAAGGCAGCCTGAGCACGAACCAGTGGCAGGGTCCGATCAATGACCGTGGTCCGACCAGGGTGTCAGCGCAATGGCCAGTCAGAGGCGTCTTTAAGGGCGCGGAAGCCCACCTCGGTCGACTGTGGCCGGTGCAACCTAGTCAGGTCGTTTGTGTGAATCTCCGTGTTCTTCCCTCGCCTCAGAGTAGCCGCTCTTCTCCAAATGCCCGAGCCGTTTTCTATGTGTATTTGTCTTGTAGCGAACAGCAGAGTCGAGAAACGAATTGACAATGTCGCCGAAAACCGCGGTCACATGCTGGCCGTTCCTAGTACTACCAATATGCCCGCAGGCGCGGCGAGAGACAAGCTTAACGTATGAGTCACCGTCCGGCTGCCGGGAGAGCCCCTACCGTGACCTTTGTTCACAGGCGTGACGTCACGACAATGGGCTCGTAAACGTACGGGCAGCGGCCGCCTCAGGGGTGCCGCCGTGACCTTTGCACGATATGTTCTAAAGCGTATGGCACAGCGGTTACTAGGAAGGTTGAGGCCAGCGGCAGGCCGGTTTACAAATAACAAACAAACTTGACGCGCAATTGACAACAGGTAACAGATTGATTAATAAAGCGGCGACAATATAAATGAAAATGACAACATGAAATGACAAATCGCATAGATGACAAATCGCGTAGATGATCCCTACAGTACCCCCTCGCCAGACATGTCGCGGACAAAAGTGACATGGCGATATCTTACCGGAGGTCGTATGACGCGGCCGGAGCGGGTCGTCCGTAGTATCGGCTGAGGCTGCAGTGGTGCAGCGTCAGCCTGAGCGACGGCTGCAGGGCGATTTGGTGCGTCACCGTAGATCAGAAGCTCCGGGCCGCTGGGCTCATTGCTGAGCGGTGGCGCGGCCGGCGGGCCGCTGGACTGAGTACCGTGCGGCTGCACAGTCGGCAGGTCAGGCTGTCGATGACCGGATTCGTCTGGCGTCTCCAGGAAGGCGGCCTTACACCGGTCGATGCTGATGACTTCCTTTTTCTGTCGACGGTCGATGGTGATGGTTTTGGTGGTCCTTTCGGTAACCGGGAACGGTCCGTCGTATGGAGCGTCCAGCGGGTAGCGGTGACAGTCCCTGCGCACGAAGACGTGTGTCGCCGTCTGGAGTGCCGTCGGGACGTACGTGGCGCGCTGGACCGGACGTGGGAGTGTCGGCCGCACCTGAGACATGGCGCGCTTCAGGTCTTGTACGAAACCGGCCGGTGATGCTGCTGAGGCTTGGCTGCTGATGAAGAACTCGCCGGGAAGCCGCAGTGAGGAGCCGGTATTGCTGCTGTTGCCTCTGCTGCTGCTGCTGCTGCTGTTGCTGCTGTTGCTGCTGCTGCTGCTGCTGCTGCTGCTGCTGCTGCTGTTGCCGCTGTTGCTGCTGCTGGACGGTCGAATGGTGCCTTGCTGGAGCATCTTGTTGAACTCAGCACGTGCGATTTGAAGGCGCTCCGGCGGGAGGCGTCGTGGCCGCTGGTACACCGGTGGACCCTTGGTGACGATGTGGTGCGTCACGTTGTGCTTCACCGGTGTTGGTCCAGGTTTTGGTGAGGTCACATCCGGGTACCGGGCGAGGACAGCTGCGAAGCGAGCAGCAGCCTGCTCCCGGACGAGACGCACTCCGATGGAGCACAGCCTTGACCGCTCGGCGCTGGCGCAGACGGTGCCGTTCCGCAGGAGACGCTGGTTGGCAACGTCCACGACGAGGTGATGTGCGGCCAGGAAGTCGGTGCCCAAGATGGGTGTGGTGACGTCAGTGACGAAGAATCGATGTTTCAGGCGGTGCTGCTGACTCAAGGTGACGTCCAGCAGGCAGGTGCCGTGCACCGCGATCGGTGAGCCGCTTGCCGCGACGAGCTGCTGGCCGACAGGAGCAGGGGTCAGCGTAGACCCGTTGGGCAGGCAGCGGCGAGGCAGCACGCTGACCTGCGCCCCCGTGTCGACTAGAAATTGCCGGTCCGTCTCCGTGTCCCTCACGAAGAGGAGTGGCACGGCAGGAGGGGCGCCCGTGCTTTGCGCCATCAGCACGGGGCGCCTCAGTTTTCCGAGGCGATCCAGGAGCACGGCAACTTGCATCGGCGCGCTTGGGCGCCGAATCGCTGGTGGTACCAACACAGCGTGTCGTCGTGCGGCGGCGTTGAAGGACGAGCCGGTGACGGGCGGCGTGACTGGCGAGACGCCTGGCGCGGCCGGGAACGGCTGCGGTCGCGCCGCACGGCATCCTCGAGTCGTCGGTTGCTGGCCTCCAGGCGCTCCATCTTAGCGACCAGGGAGGCGATGACGGTGCCCAGCGCAGGGGTTGCAGCTGGCGCCGGGGCTGTCACTGCAGCAGCGATGGGCGGTGCCGGCTGTGTGTACGGCTGTGCCGCGATCGCTGATAGCCGTGGGTCCGGTCCGCTAGCTTCCAGGTACCGGTCGGCCGCTTCTGCCAGTGCGTCAAGCGTGCTGTCGGCTGGCAGGAGGGCGAGGGCAGCACGGACGGGCTGCGGTAGCCGTTGTTGAAATAGGGTACGGAAGAGCTCCGTATCAACCGGGGCGTCCCCGGCTGCGGCTAGCTCGTTGCGCATTGAACGCAACAGCGCCGTCGGCTTCTGATCGCCGAGCTGTTGGCGGCCGAGCAGGGCTTGTAGTCGGTCGGCGCGTGACTGTGCCAGGCGGGCTTGGAGCGCCGCACACAGCA